GAGAGAGAAGATAGTTCTCTTGTCAGCTATCAAGTGCTTGTGGCAGTTATCACGAATCTTCTGATCCCAAGCAGTGGCAAGGCATGGTTTGAGTGACAGATGTCACAGTGGCGAGCTATGATGCCACTTCCTCTCTCCTTGCTCTGTCCATAGCCGGCGGCCTGTACACTATCTTTGCCCTCACTGGCTCTTACTCAGATGACTCTCTTGGGTATCCTTCTACTGTGAAGTTCAGCCTTGATTGTTTGCTGTCCACTGCTCCGCTGCTAGACCTCCTTCCTCTTCCCTTGTCTGTGCTTGGCAGTCCTTGACCTTTGACCACCTACTGCAGTCCTCTTCTCACAGTCTTCTTCCCTTGACAGGTTCCTTTCTTGTCACTGGTCTTCTGCTTCTCTTCTTCTTACTATTAGCACCCGTCCACTATCAAAAACATGGCCCTCTTCTCCATAAAGAGGATTCGACCTCGCTGACAGCGTTTCGGAGGTGAAATTGGAGCGTGGTCTTTTAGGTTTCTGGTGGCCCAACTATCACCTGGAGCCCTCAACTTGTTGAGCTTGAACTCAAAGCAAAGGTTGCAGGTATCTTCTTCTAGACACAGAGGGCACCCACTATACAAGATCTGGTAGCATTGGCATACGTTCTGCATCTGCACACTCACTATCCAACCAAGAACCAGGAGTGGCATATTATTCCTTGTTTTTGTTTTCGTTTGTCGGGACAGGATTTTTGTGAGACTGACACATTTTCAAAAATCTCTCCCCCCTTCCCCCATCCACTTTTTCAAAAAATAGTTCATGCCAACGAGATTGCTTGAATTTCATGCCAACGAACCCAAACCTTCAGTATATAGAACAGAATGACCCCCAACCAGCCCCCAGCCCCAGTACTGCAACGACTATATTGATATCATACCAGCAGGAAGTATGTACTAGAGAGCAAAGACGGCATGCTACTATGCATGCAGTTTAACGACTACATCCACAGTCCAAAAATAATGAACATAAAATTGATTTCCTCACTTATGGTAAGGACTAAACAACTGCAAGCAAAGTAGTCGACGGAAAACATCCCAGATTCCGGAAAGCGCTAGAAGGCGGGCCGCCAGGAAGGTCCCTCCTCCATTGAAGGTGTTGGTCAAAAAGCGACAGCGCTATCGCCCAGGAAATGTGGCTCTACGAGAAATTCGAAGTACCAGAAGTCAACCGATCTCCTAATCAGGAGACTGCCCTTTCAGCGTCTTGTCCAGACATAGCTTCTGATATTTAGAAAAGACATCAGGTTCCAAGGGTCTGCAATGGAAGCTCTCCAAGCAAGCATCAGAAGCCCATCTGTGGACATCTTCCAATGTTTCCAACCTTTGTGCTATCCATGCACAGAGAATCACATCATGCCAAAAGATATCGCTAGCCAGGAGGATTCGAGGTGGAAGGTTTTAGGTACTATTCTAGACCTGAAAAATTAACGTATAAGATAACATGTGTTCTTCTTTGTTTCCTTCTTTCGTGCATACCCATATGTCTTTTGTCAGTCAGCCTTGACTGTTTTTTGGTTTGCATGAGGGCGTAATTGTTTTCTTTTCGTGTATTTGTGAATGTGACAACTCCTCTTTAGGACGGTTAACCTGTGGTTATAAATATATATAGGTATACATATATAGATAGTAGTATACCTGGTCTGTGCAAGGATCGAATCATGCGCCTTGCCATCCCTGTCATGCCAACTCGGGTCACATACATTCTGCGGCCTGTTCGAACTCATTACTTAGCCAAAACTCTGGGAGTTCACTCTGCCCCTTCTGTAGAGTGAAACTACAGAGCAAATTCATTGTTTGGCAGAGTTTTTCGTTTCCAGTGTAGTGTCAGATACACGGAGCTCTGCCAACGGATATGCCAGACCAATCTCAGAGGGCAGGGATCCTGAAATGCCAGTATGACTCAAATCAAGATATTCCAGAGCTCTATCAAGTCCAGATTCACCAGGTTGGATTGCACCCAGCTTTTGGCAACAAGAAACAACAGCAAAACAGGAGACGTATACATGAGTGTTGACTCTTCTTTGGAAGACATTTGAACAAATTCTAACACAGCAACTCACAACACTACTATCACCAGGCTCATAATAAACCACCCGAGAAGCTCTCTGAAATATCTCCATTGGAAGAAGGGATCCTGTCAGAGCAGTATTTCCGAGATATAGTTCCTTCAACGGAAGTAACCCCAATTCAGAGGGAATCGTCCCAGTCAATCTGTTTGAGGAGATTCGAAGGCTGGAAAGTTTTGAAGTTCCTTAGTCAAACCATCTCAAGGGGATTGTCCCAGTGAATTCATTCCAACTCAACCCAAGCATCTCCAAGACAGGGACTGCTTGGTTGGAAAAGAGTGATTGTGGCAGTGCTCCAGTCTGTACATTGTTCTCTAAGACGAGCCGGGTCACGTGTGATAAATGTGCAATCTCCCATGGTAGATGGCCATTGAGCCCATTCCAAGCTGAAGAGTATGTTTCCGATGTGTGAGAATCAAGAACGCAATCCACATGTACAGCTATAAGACTTACAAATGTCTAACCCGACCACCGTCTTCGCTTCTGACAGTTCAGTCACACAGGTCACTCCGACCCACTGGCATTCATGACTGGCAGAGAACCACCGGTCGCCCCAGATGGTTGAGGATATCTCACCAGAAAAATGATCAGGTTCATAGCAGAAATTAACTGATGAACTGGCCAGTTGCTGTTGGGTTGCACTCTCTCCATGGCTTGTGCCTTGTTGTCTGATAGTAGAAGAGCACCAGCAGAAAAAGCTGAACCAATTTGGGAGCATCATACGTTAATTGCATTGGATCCTGGTTGACTATCCAATCAAAGGCTTTCTGTCTTGTTCCCAACATGAACTCTTTGAGTTCACTGTCGTCACCTTCTCCAGATTCTCCCACTTGTAGAAAGTAGTCCTTACCCAAGATGATTGTCAAGGCAATTTCAATCTTGGGTGCTGCTACAGCATCCCTGGTTGTTGTGGGTGCCATGGTACTACTGCCATCCACATCGACATTTTGACTGCAGTGGCCTGTGCCACAGAAAGCCCCAACGAAGATGCCAGCAATGGCCAAAATACACAAGATCCCTTCCATAAGATGGAATGCCCAGTTGTTGTTTTGCTCCTTGTGTCTATCGCAATCATCAGCCATGGCAACGGGTAGGTTTTCTTTGGCAACCAGTCTGGCTTCCACCAATGTCTCTGCAGTTGGTGGCATATTTCCTCCTCCATCTCTTGCAGCAATATCAGTATTGACATTGTTTGTAGCTATTGGCTGATGAAAATGTTGGGTGATTTGGATTGTTTGGACAGCATGTGCTCCTGGGACGCTCTCCTGCACAACACTACTTCTCAAAAGAGCAGGGGTTGGCATTTCTTGAATCCAATTTGGTGATGGTGTGGCCGTGTCATCATCGCCGCTTGCAGTTTCAACTATTTCTGAAATGGCTGGGTTGCTCTGTCCAGCCGGGTGGAGCTTTTGCTTGTCAGTGGTAAGGGCAAATGGAGCAGACTGATCAGAAATCTTTCTGCCCACCTCATCTTCTTTTTGCTCCTTCTGGATGACGGGGACCATGCCAATGTTGGCATCTCCCTTGTTTTGAAAGGAAATCTGTTGAACTGAGTTGATCTGGGTCTTCTGGTTGATTCGTGATTCCAAGGTATACATAGCCCTGGATGGAGTTTCATGGGAGAGATCTTGTATTGTACGTTTTTCTTGTTCCTTGAGGATTTGATTTTCGTCAATTTTTGGTGTTTTTTACTGATACGTTTATTATCAGCAGGTTCTTGGGACGATTTTCTTGTTATCAGCAGGTTCTTGGAATGATTCCTCCTGAAGCGGTGGCAAAATTGAACGTTTCGTTGTTGGTCCTCTTGGCTGCTGCGCTACCGGCTCAAAGGTGAGATCCTGTACGTCAGCAGTATCCTTTAACTTCTGTAACAAGGGATACATGTGCGGAACAAATAGCTCTTCATCATAGAAGTGCCGTGTAGTCACAGAAGAAGCACAGCTCATGTCTTCTGGTCTGGGGATACTAATCGAACTGGGTGGTTTTTCCACGACGGACTCATCCTCCAGGTTGTGTGGCTGTTGCTGCTGTTGTTGATCACTGCTGCCTGGCAGCATCCCACCAGTATCAGCACTATCAGAAGCCATCCTGATACCACTATGTTGAATATAATGATGGACAATAATAATCCACCGCCCATGCACCTCAGAACGGTCGTCGGGTGTCTGCTGTTGCCGTACTAGCTAGTAGTCTATGTGGTATGGGGAGCTCTCGCTAGGAACGATCCCACAGGGAGAATGAACCATCAGGGAGAATCTGCTGCAAACCTCCAGGAACACACAGGAACCTCACTTTTTGAATGGTGTTTGGCTTCCTGTTTGTTCCACAATGGAAAAATCTCATCCTTTGATCAATAAACCATGTTGCCAAAACTACCCTACCAGAATAACAAATAGAGCCACCCTATCAATACTCTGAGATAGGGAATACATAATTTGGATGTGCCGGTCGCAGTGGTGGTAGTGGCTTGTTGATTTGCCGGTCATAGGAGCGACGAATGGCCAGCAAAGTAGGTCAGCCATTTTTTCACAAGGTTTACTGTCACTAACTGGTTGACCAATCTCTGTCCCCACTACCAGCCCCATTGGACCCATCTGATGGACCCATTCCTTCAGGTAGACAAAGTAGCCAGACTTGAGTGGCTAAAGCCATTGGTACTAGCATAAGAGCCATTAGAATAGATGCCAGAGTTGTAGGTGCCTCATTTTGGATTTGTGGTCCGCGGCTGCCACTTTTTCTATTAACTTGTTGATCCTACTCACTTTCAATGATATCATCCTCCCTAATATGACCATTGGATCTATAGGTATGATTGGGTTGATAGCAGAAGGGTGACACAGTACGAAACGAAGGTGGATCTGACAACTTGGGAATATTTGGGAAAAAATGAAGCATCTAGTTTGACATAAGATAATGCCTTCCACATGGCTGTCACCACTACAACCAACACATGGCTGTGACAAGCAAAGAATGTAGACAACTCTAGATAGTTGGTTTGGTTGTGTAGGTGCCATATTGGTTGAGTTCATCGTGTAGTCATCGTGAGGTACTTTTCGCATCAATTTGTGGCTTTTGTTAGTGAGGGAACAAATTTTTTCCGGATATTCTTAATGAAAAGGGCTTTAAACTCTTACTTATGTCATTTTGGGTCTTATTTATCTTCGTTTGACAATAATGTAAATGATTTTGACACTTACAGTGAAATTCTCATTTTGTACAGGCTGGTTCCATTGTGTCGGCACGCGAAGAACAGGGTGGAACATTCAGGGAGAATATTCTCACTGTGGGATCATTTATTTGTACAATTTACATGTACAGTGTCGATGCTTCCCCCCACCATGCACCATGGAGATATTCTTGTCTCGGTCTGAGGGGATTCGGATAAATTTCAATAGGTCACTTAAAAACTGACTTTGGTGATTACATGAACGGGAGCAGGCATCTCTAAATGATTTTTAAGATCAACACAATTGTACAGGTTCTATAGTAAAACAGTAAAAATGATTGTGGTTCGTGACATCTGCAGCTGTTTGCTCTGATCCGGCTTCCTTATAAAAATCTCCAGTCTTGTTCCTTCTGTGTGATTTACTAGTAATAACATTACTGGAGTACTCCCGTAGTAATGGATGTGTTTACAGCTTCTTACTCAAAACGGGATAGTAAAACAGTACAGTAGAAACGGCATAGGAAGCACCAACAGTCACAGTCACCATCAACCAAAAGCATGACGTCACCATCCTATGAAAATGCTGCGCTGTGACTTGCTTTGTGTCCTCAATTTTTCGGGGCTAGTGTGCGGCTACAATTCCCCACGACTAACCGATACCAGCACTGCCAGAGGTTCAGGATCGAGGACGGTGATTCGAATCCGCAATGCAACCGTCGTGCCATAGCCGTCATTGCTTCGGAGCCTCCAAAACTATAGCTATCAGTACTTCTCTATACACCACTACTATAATCTGCTGTGGCCAAGAAGAAGCTCAGAGAAAGAGTCCCCTGTGCATGTACTAGCCATCCTTGTATTTCTCTTCCAAAACAAGCAAATTTCTTCCACAATCCAAATGCCGCATTAGAACCGTGCACCTTGAAACGTCAAGCAGAAACCATGCAGGACGAACTTATCGAGTTGCCTTCCATCGAACTAACCAACGAGGTGGAGGGATGCTGCTCACTGTATCGAGCACGAAGAGACGACGACGATCGAGTCGAGTAGACTCAAACGATCTCCCATATCTTTGGCCAGTGCCATTGAGTATACTCTCACGTACGATACCTCTCGAAGGATCGAGATGCATGCTGGTTGGTTCCATCGACCATTCTTCAATTGGCTTCTTCTATTTTCGTCGATCAACGCATTATGCACAAACTAACAGTACTCCAAGGCTCCAAGGCAGCCGGTCGATATGGTTGTCGCGGGCTGTTCTTCGGCTTGACCAACCCCTTGTCCACGGTCGTGGCACAACACAACGCATGGTGTCAATTGCGCATGCTCGAGCCACTCCTGGGGCTCAAACACGCTTGCTTGCCGATCACTTCCGTAGTACCGGTACACTGAGCCGACGCCCACGTTGATGCATGGCTCCGTATACGACCTTGCTCCGTTGGTTGCTAAACGCACTGCTCCTGTGCAGCAGCTGTTCAATCGCTTTGGTCGTTGACGCAACTTGATCGCTGCTCCTCTTGTTCTTGGCTGGCGAAGCTGCCGATGGTCGCAACTCCTTTCCTGCTGCGATCGGCGCTTTGCACTCTTCGCTCGGGGCCTGTTGGTGTAAGTGTAGTCTCCCATTTTCTTGTATGTAGGAGTCGTTGTAGCTCCTCGAGTTGTCGAGTGTAATCGCGCCTCTAATCTGGCTTGTTTCTTCCCGAGGCATTTGCAGCTATCCTCTATAATAGCCTATTACAGTTGTTCTCTTGTTTAGGCATGAAGCATGCAATATAAGCTACACTAATCAATCTAAGTAGAAAGGCAAACTCCTGTACTGTCACAACAGCTAGTGCAGCAATCTGCAGCACATTCGATTGTGGGAGCCCCAGTCTCTTCGTTGGGCAAGCAGTCTGCCACAACCATGGCAACATCTTCCACCGCCACAAAACGGTCTTTGCAAATGGAAACAGGAACAGTACCAGTGAATTCATTCCCATTCACCAGTAGCTGGCTCAGCTCTGTCAGCGCTTCAATCTCATGGGGAATTGTGCCATGGAAGTCGTTGTCGGCGACATGCAGCTCATAGAGATCTGTCAGAAGACCAAGTGATGAACTGATGGTCCCAGTTAAGTTGCACCCATTCAAGATCAACGCCCGGAGATTCCCGAGACCATACAGTTCTTCAGGGAGCTTTCCATTCAGATTTGTGTCGTCTACAATGAGCTCTTTCAAAGCATTTGCCAGACCAATTTCGGAGGGAAGGGTTCCTGAAATGCCAGTATGACTCAAATCAAAGATTTCCAGAGCTCTACCAAGTACAGCTTCACCAGGTTGAATTCCATCCAGCTTTTTGCAATAAACAACAGCAAAACAGGGGGAAGTATGAGGTCAACTCTTATTGTTCTCGCTGAAAGATTCCAGCACAACAACTCACAATACCAACCCGAGAAGCTCTCTGAAATATCTCCATTGGCAGGGATCCTGTCAGAGCAGTCTTGCCCAGACGTAGTTCCTTCAATGGAAGCAACCCCATTTCAGAAGGAATCTTTCCAGTCAATCTGTTTGAGGAGATCCAAATGGTGGAAAGTTTTGCAGTTCCTCCATGGAGATTGTCAAACCATCTCAAGGGGATTGTCCCAGTGAATTCATTCCAACTCAACCCAAGCATCTCCAAGACAGGGACTGCTTGGTTGGAAAAGAGTGATGGTGGCAGTGCTCCAGTCAGTGCATTGTGCTCTAAGACGAGCCGGGTCATCTGTGATAAGTGTGCAATCTCCCATGGTAGATGGCCATTGAGCCCATTCCAAGCTGAAGAGTATATTTTCAATGTGTGAGAATCAAGGACACAACCCCCACGTACGGCTATAAGACTTACAAATGCCCAACCTTAACACCGTCTTCTCTGTCGACAATTGAGTTTCACAGGTCACTCCGGCCCACTGGCATTCATGACTGGCAGAGAGCCACCGTTCCCCCCAGATGGTTGAGGTTATCTCACCAGAAAAACGATCAGGTTCATAGCAGAAATTACTAGTAACGGATGAACTCTCTTGGCCAGTTGCTGTTGGGTTGCACTCTCTCCATGGCTTGTGCCTTGTTGTCTGAAAATAGAAGAGCACCAGCAGAAAACGCTGAACCAAATTGGGAGCATCATACGTTAATTGCATTGGATCCTGGTTGACTATCCAATCAAAGGCTTTCTGTCTTGTTCCCAACATGGACTCTTTGAGTTCACTGTCGTCACCTTCTCCAGATTCTTCGACATGTTCGAAGTAGTCCTTACCCAAGATGATTGTCAAGGCAATTTCAATCTTGGGTGCTGCTACAGCATCCCTGGTTGTTGTGGGTGCCAAGGTACTGCTGCCATCCACATCGACATTTTGACTGCAGTGGCCTGTGCCACAGAAAAACCCAACGAAGATGCCAGCAATGACCAAAATACACAAGATCCCTTCCATAAGATGGAATGCCCAGTTGTTGTTTTGCTCCTTGCGTCCAATGCGATCATCAGCCATGGCAACTGGTAGGTTGTCTTTGGCAACCAGTCTTGCTTCCGCCAACGTCTCTGCAGATTGTGGGGTATTTCCTCCTCCATTTCCTGTGCAATTGTTTGTAGTTATCGGCCGATGCGATTGTTGGGTGAATCGAACTGGTTGGACAGCATGTGCTCCTGGGACGCTCTCCTGCACTTCGGTTTTTCTCGTAGGAGCAGGAGATGGCATATTCATGGGCATTGGCATTTTCTGAATCCACACTGGCAATGGCGAGGTGGTAGCATCCTCGTCGGTAGTAGAGACCTCAGCAGCAATTTGGGCAATGGCTGGATTTCCACCGTTCGGCATTGCCCGATCCTTGTTTTGGCCCAAACTAGGGATGTGGTCACCACCTTGTACAGCAATTTTCTTGGTCACTTTATCCTCATTTTGCTCCTTTTGAATGTTTGGATTGATATCTGTTCCACTATCTCTTTTTGTTGTGGAGAAAGTTTGTTGAACTGCGTAAACTCGGGTCTTCTGGTTGATTCGTGATTCCAACGTAGCCATGGATGGAGTTTCAGGGGAGAGATCTTGTATGCTAGCTTTTGCTTGCTCCTTACTCTGGATTGTCGGTTTTTCTAATTGTTGGTTGCTTGTATTGGTACTATTGCCACTAGCAATGTCTTGTGATAATTCCTCCGGAAGTGGTGGCAGCAGACCTGAAGGTGTCGTTGCTGGCTTGGTTTGCTGTGTGACTGGCTGAAACGCAGCATAGTCTACATCATCGGTATTATGTAGACTCTGTACTGATGGGTACATGTGTGGGACAAATAGCTCAGCATCTTGGAAATGAGTCGTGACAGACGAAGTACAGCTCATGTCTTCGGGTCTTGGGACATCGATCACACTGGGTGGGTCCACTACCGACTCATCCTCCAGGCTGTGTGGCTGTTGCTGTTGTTGTTGATTACTGCTGCTTGGTAGCATCCAACCAAGATCAGCACTATCACTTGAAGCCATCCTGATATGTTGAGCAAAGGTCAACAATCCCACCGCATGCAAACACTCTTCATTCGCAAATATGACTTCGATAACTATTGCTTTGGCTGGGTTGCTGGGTTTCTTTTTACGTGCTAACTTTGTTCTAGCGATCGTGGAGCTCAATTCCGACTGTTCTTTGCTTAAGCCTGGCCCCGGCTGGCTTCCGTAGATATTTTCCCTACTCTAAACCCCCCATTGTTCTTACGGTACATGTACCGCGTGGCATACTGGCATACTGGGCGGAATCCGGAAGCCTACTCCAATAATGAGTTACCGGTACTGGTGTTCCCTTTGGGTCGCCTTTTGGAGTGATTAAATGAGGCTTCCACTGCATGCCGGCGTGCATCGTGGTTTTCTCACACTTCGAGTTACGGTGCAGTTTATTTATTTACCTGCTAGTCTGTACTGTAACTCCTGTACCCAACACACCCACTCCACCTGCTCAAACCCTTGCAATTAACTTGACCTCTTCCTCTGGAATCCATTCTCACCGATAGTCCATTCTAACCCATAGTAACTTCAAAGTCACACTCTACGGAATTTTTGCTTCAGGCAGATTGCCTCGCCCTTATAAGGACTCTGATGCGATCGACCACTGTGAAATCGTAATGGCACGGGGAAGGGTAAGCTTTTCAGCTGCTCGGCATGTCCCACGCTCAGCAAGAATATCGCAATGAAACCATCTTTTGATTGACATTCCGAGTGAAAAACCACTACATGCGTCGATCAAGGCCACCTTTATTTCGCAGATGACACGGGGTACGGAGAGAACGAAAATCATTCCACACTGCTACGGCCGTCGCTACCGGTACGGTACACCGGACGTTGACATTCGTGGTTCGAAAACAAGGAAATATGAGAGTTTTGCCAGCTTTGTTTTCTGGGTGTAAAACATGCATTCCATTGGACGGTAGAATAAACTTGTGTTGTACCTGCCACACCCGCCCAAAGACATTGATATCTTCCATCACAGTTACACCTCCTCGGGCCAACAATTTTCCCATGATCTCAATACTTCTGCCCCAGCCACTTCTCCTTGGTGGCACCATAAGTTTCATTGCTGCGGCTGGCAATCTTCACTTCAAACCTGTGTTGCTTTGTGTCCGATTTGGCCACACATGCAGTGATGGGGAAACCATCGAGATCAGCATTGGCAGCGCACTCGAGCGCATACCGTATTCACCCCAACCGGCAACTTCAACAAACATTAGGCTGCCAGTGTTTGCTTCTTGGGGAGATTAGATTACTAGATGGAGTGCTCTATTCATTATTTATTATGTCATTGCAAGTCAAGTGAAGACCCGACAGCGTCCCGCCATACCGTACACTCAGGAGTCACCATCAATCCCTTTTCCGTCCCTGGTTCTCAAGCCAACCTTCTGCATTCTGCCCAGGTGGAGAGAGAGCGGCGGCGGCGATTCCTCGATCATCACAATTTTCATTCATTCATTCTCGCTCGAACTGTACCGTACCAAGTTTCGTACATGTAATCTACACCGTCTCGGAAGTGACGGTTACCACTTCTTCTTCGTCCTTGCTGATGAGCGACGAGTAACTGGTTTCTCCAGGATTTCCGCCATCACTTTCTCCCAGATTGCGGGCGAATAGTTCGGCATTCAATCCTTCCTTTTCAACCCTAAGATTGATGTACATGATGGTCATCATAATGGCCAAAAAGGGTCCACCTAGGACGGACGGGATATGCCCCACCAGAGACCCCAAGGGAGTAAAGAGGTTGTAGTTGACGAACCCCTTCCAGAGGAGTTGCAAGAACGTCAAGACCAAGGCCGAAACCATGTAGGTACAAAAGACATAGCACCAGCTTCCCGATACAAGCTCTCCGGAACGTTTCAATGCCGCCATGGCCCCCAGGCCCTCTGTTTTAAAGAACGCAAAAGGAAGTACAAAAGCGCCAATTGTAAGAGTGAATATAGATACAAAAGAGGTTTCCATTCCATTCTACAATCATCGATTCGTACGTACCTACTACAATGACAGGATTGACGAGGAACCAGCGCACCATGAGGTATACTCCAGGGACGTACAATAGAATACATCCCACCATAACGCCCAAGCCTCCCACAAAGGATGCCGTCAAGACGACACGGGCATGTTGAAAGCCCACTTGAATGCAGTTTTTCAAGACGGGATCCTGTTGGAGGGTAATGTCTGCCACAGCTCGCACATAGGCTCCGTTGCCCACGGCCCCAATCAAAAACACCAGCAAGATGTCCACGCCCATGAGAATGTAAAAAGACGCGAAATGGTCCATGAGGTATTCGGGGTCTTCCATCTGATCGGCACCATCCTCCATGCCCAACGCTGGCATGAGTATCATCAACGCGGCGGCCGAAATGAGCGCGTAGACTACCAGAGTCAAGAGGGACAATTGACAAAACACCCACAGACCCGTCTTGTAGACTTGCAGCGTACGAGAGATCGTCTCGCAGAGCGATAGACGCCGAAAGTAAGAGCTGTCCACAGAGACTCCCATGGTGGTAGTGTTGATGTTGATACTGTAGTATGTTTTTTAGAGTATAAGGAGATGATCCTCTTCTAATAGTATGGATGGAAGACAGCTTCTTCTTTCTGTCGTGTTTTGCGGTTTCAGCGAGGGATAGATACGTGAATAATAATAATAATGTGAGACTTGGAATAAGATCCAAAGATGCATCGCTTTCAAAGGGTCACGTTGCATATCTCTAACTCTAAAGCTGTTCTGTCACGGGTAGCGCAGGTATGACGGTTTCCGGAATGCGCACCCCACGGAACGGCTGCAGGTAGATGAGGTTAACGTTTGATTCGTTCGTCTTCCAGATATATATTACCGCATCTACCTTTATCCAACGTCAGGTCTTCCGAGAAACAAATCTTTCGGATCTCTTTTTCGGAAGTGTCACAAAAATGGCACCGCCCAGAACATGGTTTTCATAACGAGACATACTTGTATTCCTGAAACAGCACCCACAGTCAACTAGTCTAACTGCCAAGCATCCATTGACAGCCCAACGATAGAAGTTGTTGTTTGAGCTGGACGATGCGATACGATACGATGAGATCCCTTGAGGACGACGAACGCCCGTTGTCAATGTCTGAGTTGTTGGACCAGTTTACAATGCCAGAGACAGTGGCTCCCACGGAAGGGCGTCTCGGTACCAGTGTCCCACCTGACAACAACCCCCTGTGCAAAGCATGGGCCCGTGCTGGAGAGTGTCAGCTCAATCCTAGGTATGTACTTTACTACACTAATACTGCTGTAGTGTTGGGTGAGCTACCGTATTCCAAGCCTCAAGAGTTATGTTTACTTCGAATTTAATTATTTTTATTACTTCCATTATTTTTATTTTTATTGTTATAGGTTTATGGAAGTTCAATGCGCCACATCCTGCAGCAGCCCGATTAAATCTCCTTGGGGATTGCGTTGCCCCAATGTTCAGAACTTTATCTACGATGGCACAAAGTGCGACCCAGGCTATTGGTGTGGATGTGCCGATCCCAGTGGAAATCTCTGTGAACCTTCCAATGGGACCCTCACAGCCTGGGTAGGACAATACACGCAGAAAGCAATTGGAGGTTCCAAAGTCTACGTGGGATTGTCACCCTATTTCCCAGAAGAATACTTCAAGTGCAACGACACACTCTATTGTCCAGGAAGCTCAAACCCTCAATTCTGCCCACAACTATGCAATGCCAGCAGCTACTGCCCAAACGCAACCACACAACTCGATTGTCCCGAAGGACACTACTGTCTCATGGGAAGCACAGAGCCCACAAAATGTAACTCACTTCATACCTGTCCGGAAAAATCCGTCCTGTACCACAACAACTTGGAATCGGGACTTGTCATGCTTGTGGCCGCCGTTTGTTTCCTCCTACTCAATATTGCCAATCGCATGCTCAAGGACGTCGAGGCCATTGAAGACAATGAAGACAATTGTCAAACCTACAAGAGCGTGCGCGTCAACATTTCCAATAGACCCTCGCTTGCCAATACAAGGACCTATTCCACCATGAAGATTCAGGGCCCCAGTCAAAAGATTGACATGTCCTTTCGGGATTTGCAACTCACATTGCCCAATGGATTGTGCATCATGGAGGGTGTCAGTGGACAAATCAATCATGGAAGTTTCTGTGCCATTCTCGGGCCTTCGGGAGCGGTAAGTCAAATCATCATGAGTACTTCAGTAATCGGGCATTCATTGTTGGATCCATCCGCAAGCAAGAATGCACACCATGATTCAATGTCAAATCTGATGTTCTCGTCTGGTGCAATCCTTGACGTTCTCGATCGATCGTACGTAGGGGAAAACGACCTTTCTCAGTCTCATATCCGGAAAGAACGACCCCACCGGTGGCCAACTATTGGTCAATGGAGAGGAAGGCACCACTCTGGCGCAGTATCGACGCCTCGTAGGATTCGTACCGCAGGAAGATATTATGCTACGAGAATTGACCGTCTACGAAAATATTCGACATGCCGCCATGATGCGACTACCGGCATCCATGTCCAAAAAGAAAAAACTCAAACGAGTACAGCATGTCATGGAAAGTCTCGACTTGATGCACATTAAACATACTGTCGTGGGAGATGAACTCAAAAGAGGCATCTCGGGTGGACAACGCAAGCGAGTCAACGTGGCCATGGAACTGGTAATGGATCCGGCACTCATTTGTTTGGATGAACCAACATCGTGAGTCAGTCGTTTTGTTGCGCACTTGTGTTTTGTATTGTTTGCAGTCATTCCATCTTTTGTCATTCTTGCTTACTGGCCCTGTCCGTGCGCACACAACCTGTAGTGGACTCGATTCGACGAGCTCTGCCATGCTTTGCGAAAGTCTCGTGGCTCTGGCACGCCTCGGAGTCAACGTGTCCGCTGTACTGCACCAGCCCAAGACTGAAATCTTTGACATGTTCGACACGGGTGAGTAATGGATCTGTCGTAAAATTGCGGGGGTTGAATAATCCCCGCCCGAATGATACCTCACTTTGATTCATTCATTCTCCCTTTCAAAACACCAGTATTACTTTTGGGTGTGGGCGGGCGGACGGTCTACCTTGGACCGGCGGCTGAGATGGTCGACTACTTTGCTCGAATAGGATTCCCGCTACCGCCGCGGACCAACCCGTGTGATTATGTCATGGATGTCGTTGCAGGAGTCGTTCCGTGCGAGGATCGGCCAGCCTTTTTGAAAGAGGAACTGTTTGAACTTTGGGAAACGGCGCCGGAAAACCCAGACAATTGTATTCCAGAAAGTGACGATCCACCCACACGACAATCATTAAAGCAGGAACAACCGCTAAGCGAGAGCGTTCTCAACAGAGGAATGCGTCTCGCCGCGACCGTGGCGACGCAAAAGGACCATTGGTTTTCACTCGCCAAACACGTTTTCGATGTTGGCAACTCAGATGTGCGTCAAGTGCCTGGTTTCTTTGGCCAAACATCGTTTTTGTATCGTCGAGCCGTGCTGCAGCGTGTTCGAGTGCCTGCGAACACCTTCTGGCCACTGTTGCTGTCCGTCTTTGCCGGTGCCATTACTGGTGGTGTGGCAAATGCTCTGGGTACAACGCCTTTTAACTCCTTGCAGCCAATCTACTTCGGAGTTTCATATCCGAGGTTGGACCCCGACAAGGCCAGCTTCTTTTTCTTGGAGAACTGGCCAATACCCCCATCTAACAATGTGGTCCAGGTACGTTCGTTTGGCATGAGGTGGTGGTGTAAAGTTATTGGAAGTAGTACCCGCTTGTGAAAGTACTCACCGAGCGTGTGGAATTTTGCACCAGCTGTGGCAAATCACTGGGCTGGTGATCTTACTGGTTTCGGTGCAGGGAATCAATGTCTTTGGAAAGGAACGGGCTGTTTTCTTCCGTGACGCTTCTGGCGGTACACTCGTGTCCGCCTACTGGACAGCCAAGACCTTTGAAGTGTTTTTGTGGTTGCCACTCTTCTCAGCCCTCTTCTCTGCAACCAACTACCTCATTCAACCCTTGGTGATGAACATGGTCGACTATTGGCTTATAGCCTGGATGTCCTTCATTGGGTTCTATGGTATCGGAGGCTGCGGGAGCATCTTGGTTGGATTGGAGAACCGAGGAATCGTCACTCTAGTGACAGGGTTGCTCTGTCTCCTCTTGTTCACTGGTTTTCTGTTTCCTTTCAATGACAAATGGTATTTCAAGCCGTTCTTCACCTTCTGGGTGGCACAAGCCTTCAATGAACGCATGTATGACGTCTACGATGAGGTTTTTGACACAAGAGGCTTGAACAAGGGCGGTGCTGGGTATAACTTGGACACCACTTTCCAGTTCAACGTCGGCATGGCCTTTGTCACAGGGTTTGCTTGGCATCTTATGACTCTTGTGCTTCTCAAGTGTGTTGACTTTCGAAAGCAGCGTTGAGCTTCCCTTTAAATTTCATCACAACAACAAGCAACATTTTGCTGTATGCCGTGGCAATTCGAATGAGAAGATAAAAACACTTCAACAGAAAAGTTTTGGCCTGCCTCCATATATGTACAGTTGGATTTCAAATTCCCGTCTTCTGCGTTGACATTGGCTATACTGCTGTTCCTTGTTTGCTGTGGCTTACTTGTTGAACCTGAAACTTGCTTTCCTTGTAGACATATACGTACCTGGTAGTTGTTGAATATTGGCTCTGGTCCAAAAGATCCAGCAGACGCGGGATACAGAGTGGCATGAATGCACATCTAAAATAATAATAATGTAGCTAGTATGGATTAGATGTAGTGCGAGCTAGTAGAAGGCAACGAAGACGAAGTACATTTACATGGTACTGTACCGCTACCTGGCTTTCAGCGCACTGCACAACACCTACACTTCACGCCCTCTTTGTTTGTTTGTTTGCTGATGGTCTCTTTGCTTCTGAAGCTAGTCCAACAACTCTCCCAGCTTTTGGCTAAGAAGTGGTCGAACCCCTACTCTCTGGTTTGCTCCTATGTTTCCGCCCGATTGGCTGAGCTTTGCGATGTGTCTCCTGGTTCTCGTGTTCATGCTACTGCGATGAGCTCTAGTTGCTTTCTCAATTGCTTTGGCTTACTTGGTACTTCAAACAAACAAAACAAAAAACACCCTCCCCTGGATTACAGATTACTAATGATACGGTACGCGAAATCTATCTACCACCCAGAATAGACTAGCTAAGCAGTAGTTTGTAGAGCGTGTGAATGACATCCCAGGCAATCAAATCGGGATGTCCACCTCGACTCCCAATGCATCGGTGTCCGTTGGAGAACCGCGGACTGTTCACATTTGTGTTGCAGGTTCCCACTTGTGTTCGTTGGTCCGAGCTGCATTCAAAGATGGGCGGTGGTGGACTTGACCGGAATAATAAACGTTGCAAGAACGAATTTTGTGTCTTTTGTTGCTGGGCCTGCATTAGCTCTTGCATGGCGTAAATGTACTTGCGCCCCTTGACGTACCGGACATTGGTACGATTGGTTTCATTTTGGACTTGTTTCATCATTCGATTGGATTTTCCGGCACTCCCCTTGGCAAACATTGAAACATGAATGATTGGTCCACTGTACTTGTCCGCCAAGTCCTTGACGGTGGGTGGTGGAATGGTTTCAAAATCAATAGTACTGTTGGGGTGTTCTTTTTGATAAGCCATCATCATTTTGTAATGATTGGTGCCCCTGGAATCGGAAAATGAGTTGAATTCTCCAGTGATAATGACATCCATTTGGGAGAGTGGTTGAGGGAGTATCGAATTCAGAATTTGATCCCAGTTGGGTGAGTAGACAAAGGGACAGTTGGTAGTGACGTAAATCGTGAGATTGTGTTTCATTTGGAACTGGAGTATTCCATTGGCCGCAAACCCTGGGACTGTATAGAGAGTTGTCGTGTTCAGAATGTGATCCTTGTACTGACAGAGCAAGGTACTGGCCAGTTGCCGAGTATGAGAGTTCCCCATGATTAAAACATACCTTGAAAGGGATGCTCTACTAGCAGGAAGGATGGTCTTTCGTTTTCCCCATTGGGATCCATTGACAGCCCTCTTCTGGATCACCTGTTCCATCAGTGTGGCAAATTGATCATAGAGATCTCCTGTACATTGGAATGACATGGGCAGTTCCAAACCAGGCATCTCCACATTGGGTTGGCCCAAGACAGGTTCAGGATTGATTCGACACAGACGGAAATCATCATCCAGTGGGATAGGATCTTCAGGGGGATTTGAAACTGCTTCTATGGATCTACTCTGGTTCCATATAGTCTGAGCGGATAGCAACACGACAACCATCAGAACCACCAATTTCTTGGCTGGGATTAGCAGAGATGGCATTTGTCTCAAGATCGTTGTGCTAAAATAAGCTGATGGCTGCCTCTGTTCCAATACGGTAGATTGGTCCATACATTCATTCCACTGCCGCGTTTTTATGATGCATCTATCAAATGCCCATACCGGTACGTAGACTATCTAGATAGCAGAAGCTCTCACCACAATGGTACGCAGTTTTAGGCAGCTGTGCAAGAAAGATCTTTCTTGCTCCGCTCCCAGACGCTGCGATCGACGCTGCGGGAAAACTGTAAAGCAGCAATACATAGTTCCGACTTTCAGTAGAGTTCCGTTTTATCTTAATGTTGGGGTTGTAACGGATCTGGTGAGTGTTGTTGGGTCTGAGCAGTGGTGTGATTGGCTGGAGCACTCTGCATCCCGACTAGTCCCACAACGACTGTGACTGAGTCGAGTCACTCGATTAAGCCACTTTGTGTTTTGTGAGCAGTACTCCTTGCGTGCTTCAAAATTCCGTTTTGCAGTTTCTCCAAAATGCAACACTAGAGTCTGTTGAACAGGTTCAAGCCTCAGTACCAGAAAGGCCACAACCCGTTTGCCCCAGCACTTCAATCCCTACAGGTGACAGGCTCAACCAGAACTGCCTTTCCCACAAGAGCTAGCCCCAGCACCATGAGCCCATTTTCAAATAATTGCTTCATCTCTTGACAGGCAGTTTCTCTGGCAGTTACGCTACACTGGTCCATGTCTGACTGTTAGTTACCCAATTGATCTAGACTAGCTACATGTAGAAACTACAATCGAGCGTGCTTCTGCACGATTGCTCCGCCAAAGTAAGCTGTTGCAGGGGATGAGATCGGACTTCTTGGCATTGCCAGGTTGCGCCTTGCTTTTATAGACTAGCTAGACTACTGTACTACATGTACTACACTTTAACCTGATCAATAAGATAACTCAATTCTTAGTCCAGTACTGGAGGTATCTTAACCGATTCAGCTACAGCAACACTGAGTTATTATCTCACAAGCAGCCCAATCTCAGTATCTTTCATATCTTATAGCCACTACCTGGTAGAAGCTTTTATTACATACCCTACTACTAACCATGCCCTGAGACAGCGAGGAGCCACCACCAAAGCTCAAGAAGGCAAAGGTGCTAAGCTAAAATTATTGATGAAACCAAAGATTCCGTGGTGGGGAGGCACCCTAAGATGCGGATATGGAGTACTTGGATGTAGATGGTGATGTGGTAGATAGTGGGTACTAGCTGCATTCAATCCCCGCATAGTCTTAGTATTAGCTTAGGATTTGAGACCTCAGTACTCATAGCTTATCTTACTGGTTTGGGAAATCTGAGTGTCCGGGTTATCTAAACATTTCCAAAAAGTTGAGTACTCGGTAGGTTAAACCCACTTATCTTAAGTGTGAGTGAGGAGTGTAGCTCGTAGTTTATTGATTGATTGGCTTTGGGTTGATCCACATTCACGAGAGAGAATGATTTGCAACATTTTTCTTTAACGGTGTGCAATACCCGTAGTGCTGGTTTATAAACGTACCGGTACTGTTCTGTGTAGAGTACAAAGGCCTTTCGGGCAAAGCGCAATGCGAAGGCAAATGAGAAAGGGGAACCTGTATTCCCTGTTATGTTCATTTTGGTCTAATCACGTCCAAAATGGGTATCAAGATTAGTACGATACCGAAAAGTGACTGCATAGTCTGGAAGTTTTGTCTGTTTTGGTCTCTGACGATCGCGCCCTATCCTTAATAAAAGCCTTGTTACAAATCCGAACCTAAACATTGTCCAAAGCACTTTGTCTTGTCTCTTTAGGTAGACAACTGTCTACTGTACGTGTACTGTGGAATGCTTAGTGTTGTTGTTAGTGTAAAAGGTCGTGTGAAGTGTAAAAAGTACAAATGCGAACTCAGTCTTTCGTTACTTGCTACGACTGTACTCGTACAGTAGGTACGTGTGCACCGTGCCACCACGAATCGAATGGTTTAATCTGCAGAGGTGCTAAATACTGATATCAGTATTTAATGGCTGTACTGTGTGGTTAGAGGTCTTGTCACACTGTCATGTTGAGTAACTCAAAGAGTACGATTGTTATCGCACTGGAACGAACAGTTCTTTTTCCATGTCTTCTTTGCAGCTTCTTTGCTAAATGACGCAAGCTGGTGTAGTATTCCAAAACCGCTGATGCATTCTTTTCATGGTTGAGTGGTGTGTAGAATGAGTACCTGTTTGGTCCGTACGTGGTACCGTAATAATGTCCAAAGTGACCAGCTGAGCACAATTTCTGGTGCCAGTCCATTCAAGTGACATTGGGCGACCCACGCAACATACAGTACGTAGAAACAGTACTGGTAGCAAGGCCTGGCAGTAGAAGCCTTGGCAGCATCGAGAATCAGGAGCCGGACTCGTCGAAGCCGAGCAAACAGCGCCACCCAGCAGCGAACTGCCCACACCACTAAAATCGAGCAGAGAGTTACCAGCTACCTAGCTAGCTAGCTAGTACTTCTGTTCAGCTGTTGTGGTGTTGCCAGTGCCTCTTTGTTGCCTGTTGTGACTATTATACAATTATACAATCATCCCAACAACACAACACAACACGATACATTACATTGCACCCAGTGGTTAGTAGACTATCAATAGTGTAGCTACTGGCATACAGAGAGAGTAAAGAGAGAGAGAGTATGTGTTGGAGAGACAGCGGCGACCGCGAAGGACTGGTCCAAGTACGAAGCTCCAACGACGACAGCAACAACACTACTAGTAGTAGTGGTAGTACGACGGCTCGAGTAGTTGCTGCTACTAGAAGTAGTCTATCATCAAGGATGGATCCGCAAAAGCCATCCTCAACCATAAGAAGAGACGCAGGAGAAGCAGCAGAAGAAGAAGAGGATCCGTTAGACACGCTGGGCGCGCGAGTTCATCCGCCTAATCCTGGAAACACTTCTTTGCCGTTTTCTACAGACGATTTCGAACCCAACAATGTCTTTCTACAGAGCTTGAAGAGACCACCAACAACAAGTACAACCACTGCTACTACAACCACAGCTACTCCAAGACCAAGTGATCTTGCGTCTCAACAGTACTTGTCTGCTGCTAGCACCCTCTGTCATCTCCAGGCTCAGACTCACCCACAGCAACAGCAACAGCAACACACGACTGGTCAGCCTGCTCATGCTGTAGCTGCTCAACCAGCTCCACATGTAGCTCGTGCTCCACCTGTTGCTCAGGCAGCCCCAGCTGTAGCTCAAGCTCATGTGCCAGTGGTTCCCACCATGATTTCCTTTCCCTCCCAACCTACTCAGTCTTCTACCCAACCTGGCCAAGCCCCTCCTGCAGCACCAGCCCATGCTCAACCACAGCTGCTGGCTTCTAGCAACATTCGTCCTCTGCAGCGCATTCAACCAAACACTTCTGTCACTCCCACTGCCATTCACAGTACTACTCTACTAGCTCCACCACAACAACAACAACAGGCACCACCTGTTCCACCACCTCCCAAAGTAACCACTGTCACGGTCAATAGTCACATGCTCGACCGAAGAAAACAGTTCCTTGTCTTTGTCAAGATTCTACTCAATCACTTACAGAAGAATGGAAGTCCAGGAGCCAAAGGAGTTCATCCCCAACAACTCTATCCACAAGTCAAACACATTCTACAAGATTGTATTGTCAAGAATCGACAAGGAGATCCCAACTATCAACCACTCCATTTGGCGGCCGAATCCCGTATTCTGCCGTTGGTAGGACCGCAAAACTGGAATCGATCCGTGCAATACTTGAACCTCTTTCTACGAAAACAGGCGCAATCCAGGACACTGCGGGCCAATCATGGACAGCCAGCATTGCCCACGACAGCAAACAACAACAACAACACTCCTGCACCGGCCCCTCTTTCAGTGCCAATCTAGACTGATCATCTAACTAATCAATCATACTACTACTAGACTGTTAAGTTGTTGCACGGGGAAAGAACGATGAGGGGAATCTCTAGCTAGAGATTACAGTAGAATGCCAAACGTAAAACAGAATCAATTTTTGAAAAACTATGTGTTCCTACTAGATACCGTAGCGGACGGTAGTTGAGGGACAGATTCGATTCGCGTCCACCTTCGCATTGTGGTACCATGTACGAGTATAGGTATCGGTGTGCCAGTCGGTTCCGTATGGTACCGCTAATTCAGATACAAGTACCTCGAGAGTCGAGTCGATGCTTCCGTCACCACATGCCCAATACAGAAGCAACAGAACAGCTGCACGGATCTTCCACCCAACAGCCACAAAATGTCAAACTAGACTACTCAGTTTGTACCATCACGTCGAATCGCATTCGTACCAAGGCACGGTGCCATTGCAGTTGGTCCCAAAGTGTTGTAGCTGGAGCATGTACGTATTTGTCGCTGCCTGGATTCGAGGAGCCGCTTGCCATAGTCTAGTTTGCTACTGTACGGTAGAATCGAAGCATAGTTAGTTGCTTGCTGTCAACAAAGGCTGACATGCTTCGCTTTCGTGCACATCTGCAGACCCTACACCGGCCAATTCAAAACAGCACATACTTTATACATGCTACCTACCCTACGGTATGTACGTACGACACAGAACGGCTGCACGGATGCACCCAGTGACCCCAAGTAATTGTCAAACTACTTGAATCGAATCATACTCTCCCATCGTACGTACCCGTATGGTCGTGTCCTCGTACATGTATACCATACAATGCGAGGCTGCTAGTTATAGAGCATGTACGCTTAGCCGGTGCTTGGGGCGGGTCGTCATACAGTTACTTCGCTAGAGCATCGTCATGTGCTATTATTATCCTTGTGATCTGCGTGATACTATGCATCCCGTTCGTGTGCCGGGGTGGCTTTTTCATACCATATACAGAGTGTGAGTGACGATCGAGTCGAGTCTGCGCCAATGCAAAGCAGACCATATGCAAGTTATGCTATGCGTACGACACAGAAGTACCACACCATGACAGGATCAAGTGCCAAGGTCGTACAACTACTACTTATTGTCTCGACACTCGACCACCAAGCCAGATCTTGCAGACCCAAAGTGCTTCCTACTGTACCATAGCATCCATGGCATCCGTAGCATGGCACGACGGTTCCAACAAGACAAAGACTGAAGGAGCTGCCCTGCACAGTCATCCTATCTCTTCCTCTGGCCTTGTTCTCATTTCTATCCACAATTGAAACAAAATGGGCCGCCTTCCAACAGGACAGGATCAGAAGTATTGGGACAATTCGTGTGCTGGAACATTTCAGTCACCGAAACATGGGCTGGTAACAACGACCCCCAGGAACAGAGACTTTGAGAAAAGTTGGTGGCATTCTTGAAAGCCCAGCGGAGATCCGTCACAGAAGACACATTCCAACCAGAAATATCTTGATTGAATTGTTTGGCTTCTTCAAATGTCTGCAACATCGACTGGACTCGTGAAACATCCCACATATGCAAGGGACTGTTGAATTTGTCAGTTTTTTGAAAGGCACTGTTCATGCTGGTCAGGGAACCAACCTGCCATTGGGAGAGATCTTGGTCAAAGCTGTGAGCTTCTTGAAATGCCTTGTGGAGTGTCCTGAGCTTTCGGGTATCCCAAACTGACAGATCTTCATTGAATTGAGTGGCACGCGCCGCAAATTGGCCCATATTGACTAGATTGGCTGTGTTCCAATGGGAGATGTTTGCTTGTTGTTGCACATTGCTCCGCCGAAACAACTGATTGAAGGATTGAACACTGGAAACGTCCCAGGAGCTCAAGTCCAGTGGATCCTCTTGACTCCACCGAGTGGCCATGAATGTAGCCTTCAAGCTAACCACCCCACTAGTGTTCCAATGATGGATTCCCCAAGCAGTCGACAGGTTCCGGACCCCACGGAATGTTTCTTCCATGTCTTGTGCATTGGACATGTCCCATCCTCCAATAACAGGAGTCCATGTAGTAGCCTGTTCAGAGATATGGTTTGCTTGATCCGCATTGAGATTGGGGTCTCGCATTCTATTTATCTGAAAGGCATGGGCAAACCGTTGAATCTTGGTGACACACCAGGTACCAATGGGCCATCCATATTGTTGTGAGATACTGGAATTGGGACTGTTGTCGGCAATGTAGGCATCAATGGCATCATAGAGATCTTGTGAGGACTGGAAGCATGTCTCTTCTTTGGAATCATTTGAGGTGGTGTTTGTGGTGGGTTGGTTGAACAACGATCCTTGACTGGTGCATGGTTCGTCTTGCTCTCATCATCATTTGTCTGTATCACCATTGAGAGCAAGACCACGATGGTAGTCACTAGAGCCAGAAGTATTACCATCCCAACAGCCAGCCATGTTGCCCGATTGGTATATGAGCAACTTGTAGACAACATCTCTTCTTGCTTGGCATTGCCACTGCCAATCTCTTCAGCAACCACTACGATATCGGAATCCTCCATGTCGACTACTACATGAGCTTCCACCAGGTGATCTTGAGTGTTGTCCTCGTCGCTTTCCACAGTGGTGGCTGTCCCGGCGGTATGGGTGCCTAATGCAGGGAAACTGTCGGTTGTACCTCCATATTGGCTGTTGGTACTGGTATTGGGGTGGGGACGCAAGGAACTAACGGCATAAGCGCCTGGACAACCATCAGCAACCAAAGTATTGTTTGCCGGGGGGAGAGGCAATGGTTGGATAGTAGCTGTAGCTGCTGCCGATGAAGCATCATCGTCGTCCTGGTCAGAGAATATCGCCTGCTTGGAACTGTTGCCATCTTTATCGGGCTTGACATTGGGGTCATAGTGGCCGAGTTCCATTTTGCCTCAGTTTGGAGGACCAGATCGATAGATTGTGGATAAGAGTTCAGCTATCACTAGGAGCAATAGGTTGCCAAGGACACGTTGGTCGTTGGCTTTGGCAACGTGGAAGGTGTGTGTGCTGCGGCCATCCTACATGTACTGTATTGGATTTGAGCATTTGCCTCTGTTTCCGTCTAGTAGAAGACCAAACGCCTCGTCGTTTGTTCTTTTTATGTCTTTCTGTGTTAGAGGGGACTGCATAGCTGTCTTTATGGAAGCCTTGTCAATAAGAAGCAAATAGAGAACATCATTTCTTCCGTAGAACCCGCATTCTTTGTTAGGAGAGGCAGATGCTCCTGTGTGACAACGTGGCAAGGTGAACTGTCATTGAAATCATTTTTCTTTGGAAAGGCGGGAGCCTTTGACCCGTCTCCTTCGATCTCGCTTCAAGTGAGCTCCAGGCTTCCTCCTAACAACTTAGCAACAAGGAAAGACCTGACAGTCAGGGTGCTAGAAAGAGTAGTAAAATAAGGCAAAGGAGCACTTCGTGTCGCTTTAGCCAAAAACTGCATCTTCAGTTTGACTGTCCCACCTCGATCCCCAGCTTTGCTTGCAGCACCTGGCCTGATAGCAATAAAGGCCAGATCATTGCTGCCCAGATAGCCTACTAGTACTAAATGTAATACCTGAATGATTCAATCGAATCGTAGGAGGGCGGCCATACCGTGGTATTGCTAGGAGTATTGACATTCGTGGGACCACTTACCCGTAGTACCGCGGTGCGTCTAGCTAGCCCAAACCTTGCCACCAGTAGTAGCTCGTACTGAAAGTACTGTGACAAAGAGTGTCCCACCCGAGGGACGAGCTTAAGTGCCCTGGTCGCACTGCTACATGCTTGACTTGTCCAGAACTGTAGGAAAGCCTTGCAGATCCCGAAAAGATTGATCCTACAATGCACGAAAAGCAACATGCATTGGGTGGCGGGGGTCGGTTCGGACAGATCAAGAGCTTACAAGCAAATCTCCAAGGCAGTCAGTAGGTGGTTCGAGCTACCAGTACACGGTGCTGATGAACTGACAGGCTGCGATTTCATAGACGCACCGAGGATTAGGTAGAAACTAAGGGTACGGAGGCGATGCTACCGGTACGGGGCAAACGATAGTTCCTTCCCAAAGTAATACGATGAGTCAAATGGGACAACTACTTGTCTTGGACAAGAGCAGAGAATCCAGATCTTTTGTACGGAAGCAACGATCGATTGCCTGATTTCAAACGAGTCAAAGACTGTCCAGGTTGCTCGACCACTAAAGCCAAATCTTAGAGAACGAATTCAAAGGGGGTTCTAGAGCAGGGAAGATATCTAGCTAGCTAGGGAAGCATGTGAGGGCCAAGCTTAGGCAAAGAAAGGTCAAATCCGGGACTGCGTTTCGTGGGATCATGGGTGATAAAATGAGGACCAGCTAGGGGGCCAAGGGCGAACTTGCTTCGTACCACGTCATATCCATAGCATCCATTCATCCATGGCATATGGCACGACCATTCCATCACGACAAGACTCGAGACTGGGCTGGCTGTGCAGGACAGCACCTGCGCCGTCCTCATATCACCTTCTCCCTTGTTCTCCTTTTAGCCACAATTGAAGCAAAAGGGGCCACCCTCCGACAGGACAGGATCAGAAGTATTGGGACAATTGGTGTGCCGGAACATTTGTTTCACGGAAACGTTGGCTGGCAACAATGACACCCAGGAACAGAGATTTTGAGAAAAGTTGGACGCATTCTTAAAGGCAAAGCTGAGATCCGTGACAGACGATACATTCCAACCAGAAATATCTTGATTGAATTGTTTTGCTTCTTCAAATGTCTGCACCATCGACTGGACTCGAGAGACATCCCATGTATTCAAGGGACTGTTGAATTTGGCAGCTTCTTCAAAGGCACTGTTCATGTTGGTGAGGGAACCAACCTGCCATCGGGAGAGATCTTGGTCAAAGCTGCGAGCGTCTTCGAATGCCTTGTGAAGAGTCTTGAGCTTTCGGGTATCCCATGCTGACAGATCTTCATTGAATTGAGTGGCACGGTCGGCAAACTGGCCAATATTGACTAGCTTGGCAGTGTTCCAATTGGAGATATTTGCTTGTTGTTGCACATTGCTTTTTCGAAACAACTGATTGAAGGACTGAACATTGGAAACATCCCAGGAGCTCAAATCCAGTGGATCCTCTTGGCTCCATCGAGTGGACATGAACATAGCCTTCAAGCTCACCATGGCAGTCATGTTCCAATGATGGATTCCCCATGCAGACGACAGATTCTGAACCCCACGGAATGTTTCTTCCATGTCTTGTGCATGGGACATGTCCCACCCCCCAATGGCAGGAGACCATTTAGCAGCCTGTTCAGTGATATGGTTTGCTTGATCCGCATTGAGATTGGGGTCTCGCATTCTACCTATCTGAAAGGCAAATGAAAATCTTCGAAGCTTAGTGACGCACCACGTACCAATGGGCCATCCATAATGTTCTGAGATACTCGAATTGGGACTGTCATCAGCGATGTAGGCATCAATGGCATCATGTAGATCTTGTGAGGACTGGAAGCATGTCTCTTCTTGGGAAGCATTTGAGGTTGAGTTTAGGATGGTGTTATTGTTGACCAACACAAGATCCTCGACTGGCCCATCGTTCGTTTTCCTGGTGTCGGCATTACTCTGCATCATCATAAAGAGCAAGACCACAATTGTAGTCACTAGAGCCAGTATGATTGTCAGTCCAACAGCTAGCCATGCAACTCGAGTACCAGTAGTGTTACGTGAGCAGCCAGTAGACAAAATCTCATCTTGCTTGGCCTTTTTGCCAGCAACAATCTCCTCTGCGACCACTACGATATCGGAGTCATTGCTAGTGGTTGCAGGAGAAGTTGCCGCATCAGGAGTGTTGTCCTCCACCTCCATGTCGACAACTACATGAGCTTCCACCAGGTGGTGATCTTGATCTTGAGTGTTGTTCCCATCACTTTCCATAGTTGTGTCCGTCGCAGTGGCATGGGCGGCTAAAGCAGGGAAACCGTCGGTGCCAGAGGCGGCGGGGCGGGAACGAAAGGATTGAACGGCAAAGGCACCTGGACAACCATCAGCAACCAAAGTATCGTTTGTCTGGGGGAGCGGCAACGGTTGGATACCAGCTGTTACCGATGATGCATCGTTGTCCTGGTTGCCATCATTCATTTCCAAGATTATCTCCTGCTTGGGATTCTTGCCATCTTCATCAGGCTTGACGTTGGGATCATATTGGCTGAGCTCCATTATTCTTTTGACAGCTCTTTTGACTCGGTTTCGAGGATCGTAGAGCATATGAGGACAGGATGGAGAAGCGAGTTACGATGTGGCTTATTAGATCTACATGTAGCTACTAGATGGAGAGGACAGGTGGGGTTTTGGTTTTTATCAGCATGTGCTCCCTGCGCCTCCCGCAAAGAGGCAAAGAGATTGGCGCAGCTAACGGGGAACACTCTACCAGCCGCCCTACTAAGTCTTCATGCTCTTCATGCTGTGTTTCAGTGTTCAGTGTCTTGGAAGCAATGTCCCAGAGTCATAGATCATTTAGAGAACAACTGTATTTATTTGTTAGGAGAGAGTCTCCTCTGTGGCAACTGTCGTTCGAAAGTCCTCGCATTTGCCCGTTCCTCTTTGATCATCTTCGGTCCAATTTTGGTCCAGTGGGTGCAGTCTTACCAACACAGCTACCGGCACACCAATAACCCACCCAGCTACCGTATCTATCTATCTATCTATCTATCTATCTAGTAGACTATCCAACTACTAGCTAGAGTCGTAGTCCCATGGAAAAGGAGGTGGTACCTGGCACTGTATCCAATCACTTCGTGTCAGCCAGGAACTGTATTTTGACTGCTTTGAGGGTACTGCAGCAGAACTAATCACAATATGAGCCGATTGTTACATATTATTAAGCTGCCCGCACCGGTACCACTATCGTCGAAGGGGTGCGCTCATACCGGTACCGGTAGGATGCATGCGATTTCGTGCACCCAACAAGCAAGATTTCCTATTATAGTTACTTTCCAAAGAATGGTGCAGCGGCGATGCCACTGCAGCCACAAAACAATTCCACCGGACGGACTCGAGTTCAGCCGAGTTGAGTTTAGTGAAGTGCCAGATCCTACGGTACCAATACTTGACTGAACTTGGACAAGAGCATGGAAGCAACGATCTGTTCTGGTCCACACTTGCCTACATGTACATGTAATTCTTCTCCCATCTTCCCCTCGCTTGTCGGCAGTTAAACCAAAACCTTAACCCTCTACTTAATACAAGTGTCTCATAAGCAAGCTTGCAGTGCTGTTAGTTTTATAATTGTCATAGTGACAAGTTGAGTTGATTGGCTGACAATGGACACCTCGGAGTACAGTCGTACCCCCGACTTCTGATTGGTGGTTGAGGTGATGAACGGGTGGAAAAAACGCACATACACGTATGAATCGGAATCGGCATTGCAACAGTTAGCCAGCAGGAAACAACAGTGGGAAACCAAACTGTATTTCGGCAGCTATTTCGGCATTGCAGCGGGAAGCCAAGCCATCACAAATAAATCCAACAAGTATCATAGCTAGCTAGTAGTAGCTATAGTAATACCAACCAAGCCAAGCCAAGCCGTGAAGATGAGATATACCGGTACTAGACTGAGGCCTGTGTTGGCAGCAGCACTCATGGCCACAGTGCTGCTCCTCCACTGTTCTTTGTCTTTGCCCTGCTGCGAGGCATTTGTTCCATCTCCAATCATTCGGCAGCACTCTACTAGTACTACTAGCAGCACTGCCTTGTCAGCACTCCAAGTTGATGTTGGTGAACAGGATGACAAGAACAACAAACTTAAGTTTACTTCAGCTGACAATGTTAACATCAAACTTGTTCCTGTTGCTGCTGCAAGTGCTGCAAGTGCTGCTGCCATGACAATCATAGTACAACAAGTACCCTCTCTCGATCTCTCGCTCCATGACAACCCCATTGTCTTGTCTCTTGTGGCCGCCGTGGTTGGTGTGTTGACCGTGTCTTCTGCCACGGCACTGCTGGATCACTGCATGTCTACATCTACAGTCTATGACTCGCAATCAGAGCAATTCGATCAAGGCACCTTCCTGGGACGCTACTGCAAAATGCTTTTCCTGTGTGATCCAAGACTCTTGCTCTATTCACAAGAACAGGTCAGACACTACCAAGACATGGCTTATGGTAATTGTGGCAGTGACACTAGTACTAGAAGTGATACCAGTAGTGAACACACAGATTGTGAATTGTGGCACGCCAAACGGATTGCGGATTCCGCACTCAACAGCAATGGAGACTGGATTCCACGGCCCTTTCGCATGTCCGGTTACTTGCCCTATAATGGACCCATTTGCATTGCCATGCTGGCAACAGCAGCAAGTAGCAGCCCTTCTACTGGTACTCTGCTCTTCTGGTCCTGGCTCAATCAGAGTCAAAATGCATTGGTCAACTTTTACAATCGCAATACCGGTACAACCTCCAATTCAAATTCAAAAACAAATTCAACAACACAAGTCAATAACGCCATGCTACAGAGTTATGCCGTCGCCGTGGGGTCCGCGCTGCTTGTGGCATTTGCACTCTCGCAATATGTACAAACACACTTTGAGGGCGATCAGGCGCAACAACTTTTGCGCATGGTATCCTTTCCCAGTGCCGTTGTCGCCAGCAGTCTCAATTGTTTCTTTGTGCGCAGTCCAGAACTCAAGACGGGGGTGTCCTTGATGGTGCCAGTAGTGCACACAAATGATACTACCAGTACTAATAGTGATCAAAATGACTGCAAGTTGCAGACGGTCCTGCCAGGAGAAACTTCCCTGGTCGCTGCATCCAAGGGCGTTTACACGACAACCGCCTCTAGAGCCATTCTACAAATGCCAACCTTTTTCATTCCACCCATGCTCATGAGTACTCCCATGATTCAACAATACTTGCAAAATGATCCAGCACTACAACTACAACATGACATTGTAAACATGGAACTACCCATCACCACATTTCTATTGCTCGTCAGTTTTGGCATGGGATTGCCGGCATGTGTGGGATTCTTTCCCCAAATGATGACCATACAGGCCAGCGAGGTCGAGCAGCAGTATCAAGACTTGGTAGATCCAACCACGGGAGCGCCCTACACCGAGTTTACTTTTAACAAGGGATTGTAAATATTTAGCTAACTAACTAACCAGGGCAACAACAAAAGCAGCGATTTCGACAAGCAAGGTTTCTTCCGAAGAACACGTATACATGTCGCTCCTCCTTATTAATCGTTAGTTGCCTCGGGAGTCGGTGTGGAATCGCTCTGCCATTGGTATCCAATCTCTTCGTGTCCGTTACCGTAGCCCATAGCCAGAAACTGTGTTTTGACTGCCCGTCTCCCCAGCTGTGATGATGTGAGGATAGCAGCACTTAACACAAGCAGTCGATCCCCAGGTGCAGAGATTTTGAGAAAGCTGGCGCATTCTTGAAGGCCAGGCCAGGCCAAGAACAGCTAGAAGACACATTCCAACCAGAAATTATCAACCCGCAAGCACTGGACAGTTATAAAGGTACATGATTGAAATGGCAAGAATTTAAAAAGCTGGCAGGGATCTGCAATAGCAATGGGCACAGAAGTAGCAACAACTAACTGCAATGTGAGGGGAGCCCTTGAACACACCTTCAGATTCGATTCTGTAGAGGCAGTCGTGCCTTCACCGTATCCTGGAGAGCCTACATATTATTTATTTATTTATCTGGATCGTTCCGTGGTATTCCTGGAACAGCTCTGGAATGCAACGCTGCATGTACATGAACTAGAGTACCAGTATTGGTGGCAAGTTGGGAAGCCGTCGTCAAGCTAGCCTTCTTGCTAGCAGGTCTTACTGTCTTACTCTGTGATCCTCCCTGCCCTCCCTTGACACATTTTCCTGCTTTGGCTTTGAGGTTTCTCTGCTTCCTCGGTTGTTCGGCTTGCATCCTGCCCTCCTCCTCTGCAACCCATCCTCACCATCGTCCCATAAAACAAGATACTACGGGGGTTTGGAGTAGGTAGATTATCTCCTCCCAAGACTCTTGCTTCATACTAGGTAGGAAGATACACTAGCACTGCTAACAGTGACCATGCGAACTGAAGCCTACGCTCCACCCAGGAGTAGCCTGGATGGCTTTATCCTGCGACGCCTCCAAGAATCTGCCGCAAAACAATGGAGCATTAGCGAAGAATCCTTAAAGAGCAGCAGTACAAAAGTCACCCAAGACAGCAGTATTAGTGCTATTTCATGGGGTGATTGTTCTTCTGATCATTCTCATTGCAGAAATCGGAGTCAAATGTGTGTGTCCTTTCAAGAAGAGCCCAGTGTACTGCTTATTCCACCGATTCCTGAAGAAGACATGGACACACTGTTTTACAGTCAAGACGACCATGAGGACATGATGGACGATGCCGAAATGGTGGCCAAAGGATGGATGAGTCAAGAAGATACCTTACGTGGTTTGGAACGATTCTCGGCTGAGGGACGCCTTCTCACCCAAGAACAACGACACACCGTCATTTCCACTGTATTGGAAGAACAACGAAAACTCTGGGAAGAGAGGTTTGTCTTTGGCGTGGATCAACAAAAAGTATTGGCCAAAGTCTCTCGACGCCTATCAACCAATTGCCAAGACTTGGCTTACCAAAGAGCCTACCAAGATGAATTGGAGAGTTTGCCTCGACAAACAACAAAACAGAAAAAACAGCAAGCACCAGTAGGGCTGCTCTCTCGAGTGTCCACCATCTTCACGAACGCCACACACAACAACAAGGGGTGCCACCGCTAGTACAAGCTGATGAATCATGGCCATTTTCTTGCTCACTTCCAAGGGCAAATCTTGCTTTGGATTGCCGCCAGCTCCATCAGGTTTGCTATTACTACATGTACCGGTAGAATCACAAGGGACGGCTTCATTTTTCTTCGGGTTGTGTATGACGAGGCGAGGAAGGTGTGAAGAGCTCGCCCTTTCGCATGAAGCTTCTGCATGGCAATCGATGATCGAGCCGCACCTCGTACCACTACTGGTACCATAACGGTGGGGGGAATGTATATTTGCAGGATTTATTGAGATATTTTACAACTAAGTCCTTTTCAGGATTTCAGTTTTCAACAGTTAGAGTTAGTTGTTGCCAGGATTTATTGCAAATCTTCTCGATTGATCCGCCGCACCTTCGGGCCGCCAACAATTTTGGGCTGTGGGAGAAGGGGCTACGAGGGCGAAAGCGGTAGAAGGCAGTAATGTGATTGGCTAATCAACCTATGACATCAGCAAATGCGTCAGCAAAGATTCAAATATACTTAACGTACCATTTATAAAGATTACAGGGCAAGTGAGCTATCAATTACGTATCTTCTTGTTTCTGTTTTCGCGAAAGAAGGATTCCGTTGAAGAAGATCGACCATGACATGCTGCCGCTCGCAAACTCGCAAACTCGACAGTCATTATCTCAGCCAAAAAAGCGAGTAGCAGCAGCAAAAGATCATCATGGATAACAGAACAACAACAGCAGCAGCTACCACAACTGGCGCTGCCACAACAGCAACAGGAATGGGATGCCAAAGTCAACAGAGGAACTCGCAACAGAAGAGAGCATATCAACTCGCCTCCAACAACAACAACAGATCCAAGAGAGCCAGAGAAGAAGGACCCCAAACAACACTGGGAGGAGAGGTAGCAGAAGTCTTTGATCCACTCAAGAAGTGTGTCATCTGTAAGGCCAGACATCTTGGTTTCAGAGTCCCAAAAAGATCACACCACGTTCTCTGTATTAAGAATACAGTAACAAGAGGAAGAGGAGATTTGAATGAGCTGACAATGGAAACCATCAGAGAGAGCAGAAGACTTACAAGGTATTTCAGTGCTCCTCTTCCACTGAATGAGAGAGGAAGCTGGAAGCACTCAACAAAGGAGAATGGAGACGCCTTCTTTGCTGCTAGAACAAACACCGCCAAACCAAATCAGAGCCGACAACAGAAGAAATCCACAACCAACACAACTCCAGTAGCTCTTTGTCAAAAGGTAACCACTCTTGTAAATGATACTGCCTTTGTGAAACAGCACAAGACCAAAGGAGCACCACTGGCAATGCTAGCAATGGCACAAGTAGTGTCAGAATCCATTATTCGGCCTAAGAATCAGGAGCTATTCAGACAACACCACTTCCAAGGACTCACCATGACAGTTCCCTCCACAGAGGAGCAATTCAAATCTCCACACTACCACTCCATTGTTGGCCAGAAACTACTCCTTGTGGACTGGAATCGATGTGGAATTACTGTACCTTGTCCCGATGGAAGATGCTCTGGCCAACTCAAGAATGCGAGGCACAACTGGTCCAAGAACAAGACCTTGTTCCCTATCTTTGGCATCACTGGTCCTCCTTCTTGGTGTATAGTCATGTCCATGGTTTGTGGAAGCTGCAACAGAAGATTCGATGCCAACTCTGCAGAAGTGCTGGTCTCGATCCCAGACCATGCTTCATTGCTCTATCCAGTGGAGTCCAAGTATGCTCTACCTAACAAGGCTTGTCATTTGGAGCGAACAGCAACAGAAGTATTCGATTCTATCATGTTAACCTATGGAAATGGAGACCTATGCAGCCGACTCATCTACAATGCAATCAACAGAGAGTATCTTAGCCATGATGTCTTACTTCTCATACTGGCAAGGAAGCGACACTGATCCTGATCCCTTTCTTCAAAAGGATGGCACTTACATACGACAGTTTCCTCCTCTTGGTGACACCATCCGTGACATCTATGATGCTGGCTGTGCTTCAAACAGGAATCCGTGGAGGATCAGTGACAACCAAAGGCACACAAGAGAGATCCAAAGTGTCGAGTGCAACAAAGGAATCTTCTGCCAAGACCATACCTTTCAGGTGGTCAAGAACTACTCCAAGAGTCTTGGTGCTGGTGCTGTTTGGGATGCTGCCACAGAGACTGGTGAGATTGCATGTGCTGTTCTTGTTCCCACCACCAAGACAATCCACTTCTCCCATGCTGCCATGCAGCTAGCAAGGAGGAGCAACTTCAATCCAGCTGCCATGTACAGCGACACCTGGCCCCACAAGGATGACTATTGGGAGCTGCTCTTTCCAGGTATCGAGGGAAGACTTGGCCTGTTCCATTATGAGAAAAGGATTCTGTCAACTTTGAGGAAGGGTCACATTGATTACTTTCAAGCAATGGGAGACCTCTTGGACTGCCTCTATGAGTACTCACCAGATGACTATGAGAAGGTCCTCCATGCTTTGAAACATGGCCTCTTGTCCTCCAATGGCAAGCACTACTCCATGGCAGAGATCTCAGATATGCAAGCCTCCAAGGTCTTCAGAGCTAGGTACTCCAAGTATCTAAGGAAGAAGATGAGAGAACCAGAGACCATGAGACAGAAGTTGCAACAGTGGTTCTGCAAATACAAGGTAACTGCCAGTGATGGTAGCCAGCCAGGACAGGGCCGACTGGATTCAGTCAAGAACTTTACCTTGTTTACTTCTGATACCAAGCCAGCAGTAGAGAACTGCGTTGACAAAGCCGCTCACTTGGCTGATCCACTGCCTTTGGAAGACATGTATGACACGATCCTACCATCACCCAATTCCAAGCACAGCCTGCCAGAGTATCTGTCAAAGAGAGGAGAATCCAAACTGGAAGCATTCCATGACAAGTTTGCCTATTTTGGCAATAGTGGTATGAGGAGGTCTCTGGCTGATGCACTAAACCTTGCTGGAACAGCCAGATACAACCTCAAGATTAGACACAAGAGAGCCTTCCTGTCAAGAATCAGTCTGGCAGATAGGAGGTCAATTCCAGCTGGATGGGAAAAGGTTGTTCCATACTGGAACCATTCAGAGTTGGCTTACCTCAATGAGCTAGCAGTGGCTGTGGGTCTCAATGAACCATTTCCTACTGCAGAGCTACTGCCACAGGATAATGGAGAGAGGTTCTTTTCAGAGTTCATTGTTGCATTCAAACCACAGCGGCAGAAGTATGCTCCAAATTATTGTTGTCTTTGTGCAGCTTGCACTGGAGCACCACCGAGTCCACCAGCAATCGAGGCACCAAGTCCACCAGCAATCGATCCACCGACTGCAACAGCAATGGTTCCACCGCCGCCACCACCACCACCGCCGCCGCCGCCACCACCACCACCTGCAGTGCCACAAAACAACAAATGCTTATGTTGGTAATTTGATTCTATACCAGCAACAACAACAAATTCAAATGATGCAACTTGCCATGCAAATGCGGCAATTCCAACCCATACTGCTATATCCTTTCCAGCCACCTCCTCCACCGAATGGCTGCTGTCAGAGATACTGCCAGTGGTTGATCAACAGGAGAGGAAGACCACCTCATGATGCCACCTGTCAAACTCGATTGAATGGATATCTGGCATAAGAACAGCAATAAATATTTAGGTACATTCGATTCATTTCTAATTTAGCAAGTAACTTACATTCAAAGTCCTTGTTGGTTGTTGCCATCAATAAACATAGCCAATTGGGGTCTCAGGCCTCCATGATACTGAAGGTCTTCCATGCACAACGTCACAAACTCATGATTCATCATACAATATTCCTTGAAGGAAAATTTGGGTTGGTACCACTGGATGCAATACCCATGCCAAGCATCCATGCAAATCTGGCCTTCAATGGAGCCCAAGTCATACTCCTCAGTGATCCTATCCTTTGCTAACCAATAGATGCACTCCATAAAGATGTCCTTCCTTTCACAGGGATGTGGACCCTCCAGCATTTCAGAAAGGGTAGCAACAACAGCACGGTACCATTGTGGACTATCCTGGCGTCCCCATTCAAACATGTAGTCCATGATGCCTGTCATATCAGGAGGAAGAGGCTTGCCTGCTCCTTGCAATATCAACTCCTCAAGAACCGTCACTTCCATGCTTGTTGTGGGCAAACAGAAGTTATCCTCCTCGTCGCTGTTGTACCCACAAATGACATACTTGCAGGTGAATCCATGCCTTGTTGCCCTCAGCTCATTGAATGGGTATCTGTTGACACTTTGCAGCCAGTTCGAGAAGCCTTGACTAGTAGAGATCCGCATGGTCGACAGTTGCTCGTTCGTCTTGCGCGATTGGTCGAGTTGTTGTTGTTGTGGATCGATCACTCCGTCGCTTCGATCGATAGAAGGACGACGTTCCATCGGTGGACGCATGGTAGAAGAACGGCGGATAGGATAGTCATTAGTAGCATGCCATTGTCACCATTGTGGATAACAACAACAACAACAGCAACAACAACAACAACAGCTACAACAGCAACAGCAACAGCGACAACAACAACACCGAAACAACACTTACCAGCGATTCGAATTTATGGGAGGGTTTGGTCCCAGCGAAGGAAAGGGAAAAGAAGCGAGCCAAGCCAGAAAGTAGCCGTTCCTTCATTCAAAACGGATGGAGCCAATGTGAGACCAGTGCGATGATGATGCTATTTATGACGTATTTCTTGTTCTTCGGACGTCTTGCCCATGGGGGAAAGACCGGTCTTTGCCATTTCCCCTGTTTCCTTTAAGTAGATGAGAATGCGTTGGTGACTTCGAGTGCCGGAAGTGTGCTGACTGGCTCGCTGTTTGGGAATTGGGAATCAAACGCATAACCCTCTCCCTTTCTTTTTCTTTTTCCCTCCCCCGCGCTGCTGCCAAACCCCCCCATAATCTCATGAATGGGCTGTGGGCTGTGGGAGGCACTACTGGTCTAGCTCGCTAGCTAGGAACGTATTTGACAAGAGCAATAAAAATTGGATGTCCATGGGACAGCATTTGGAGGTATCTGGTACGGTATTGAAATGGACCAGAAAGCATGCATGGCTGTCCCTGGGATGAACAAACTGTGATTTTGAAGGTGGTCACGTTCGTAGGCAAGAGAGAATGGATGCCATTGACGAGTGGCATGCCATGGCCATTCCTTTATGCTAGTTCTCATAAAACACAAAGAAGCTGTTTGGAAGATAATAAATGGGTAGTTATGTAGAAACAAATATATATTATTGACAATTGAAGCAAAATGGACCTCCCTGGGATAGTATTGGATCGGATGTGTTGGGGCAAGCGGTTCCCTCAAACATGCCAGTGGTGTTTGCATCCATGGGAAGAAGACTCGCCCATGCACATAGGTCTTGCTGAAAGGAGGAGGCTCCTTGGAATGCTCCTTGAAGCGACTCCATGCTAGACACATCCCAACTCGACAAATCCTGGTTGAATGCGCTGGCTCCTTGAAAGGCATTCTGGAGCGTCTTGACACTGGAAACGTTCCAGGATCCAATGGATTGATCAAAACTCGTAGCTCGTTGAAAGGTACTGTCCAAGTTCGTTAGAGACTGGGTATCCCAAGACGAGAGGAAGTCGTGCGAAGCGTCTTGTGGTTGTTCTGGCAACCAGACCGTATCCATAAAGAGTCCTTGAAAGGTAGTGACTCGTGCCACATTCCATTTGTGAATCCCCCATTCAGATGACATGGTTTGTACTCCACGAAAGACTTGCTCCATTCCTGCCACTTTGGAGACGCCCCAACCACCCAGGTCAACGACAAAGTCTTGTGCCATTTCCCGAATGGCATCACTTTCGTGAGCTGTGACTTCCGAGCTTCGGGATCGGTCCGTTTGAAAGACACGGGACAAGTCTCGTACGTATCGGATACACCACTTGCCCATGGGCCAGCCAAAGCGTTCGGCGGCGTGGGAATCAGGGCTGTCGTCCAGGTAGTATTTATCCACGGTCTCTCGTAGTTCTTCGACCGAATGGACGCAATGAAAATATTGACCAGTTTCCGTAGTAGAGGCAGTGTCAAGATGGGGTCCGCTATTGTGGTCACTGTCCATACTACTATCATGATGCTGGTTGCTGCCCATTGTAGTAGAAGCCATCATTCCCTCTTCTTCGTCGACGTCGACACTTGCCTTGTTTTGCACAGCGAGCAGGACAATGATAGCCACCAAGAGTAGAACAATGATCGCCGCGGCCAGTGGCACATACGGGGGCCTGCGGGGAGCGGTGGTGTCTTCTTCTTCTTGCGGCTTGGGCACTTCGTCCATTCTCTCTGCTACAACTAGCTCACTGTCATCCGCTCCTGTTGTTGTTTCCACCAACTGTGCTTCTATCAAATGACTACTATTGATGACTGCGTGATGGTCCACAACGACCGGAGAGCCTTCTTGTTCTACTAGAGCAGTGACCGCATTAGCGGTAGTAGCAGCATTCGTAGTACGGACCATGTCGGCCCGGTACGTTTGCACGGCATGAGCCCCCACACGACGCTCGGGAGGTCGTGGGCTCTCCTCGTCTTGTTCATCGTCATCTCCTGGAATTGGCTGAATGTCCTCGGCTAGTTCTTGACCCTTTTGCACTCCGCGCACACAGGGAGGCACTAGAACGGCACGTGAGAATTCCACATCTGGTGCTGGTTCGTCCACGGTGAGGAGCTTGCCTTGTGCAGGATGTACCAAGCGTAACTTGGTTTCACTGATCGTGTCTTGGTGGTACTGGTACATGTTGTTGTAGTGCTCGTCGGCTCCGTCCTTGATCATGCTTATTGCCACCATGGCTGCTTCTTCTTCTTCGACCGCATCCGCTACCACCACTTGGCTATTATTCATGTTCATCCCACCTGATTCCATCATCAAGTCTGCAATCAAGTCAACATCTACCTCCGAGTCATCCGCTGCTGTCGTCGTTGGTTCTTCCAATGCTTGCTCTTCTTTCGATGCCCTGACTTCGCCGTCGCTCTTGCCATTCTGGTCAGATACCACCATGGTATGTTCAATATCTTACTGTAGTTAGCTACCGGTACCGATATGTATGAAAGCCTTGAAAGCCTTGAAAGTTGGGTATACTGTACAATCTAGCTACCTGATATTAATAGTGCAATCAGATCAATGAATGAATGAATGAATGAGCAAGCTGGGATCAGTGCTACCAGTAGCTAGCTAGATAGTAGATAGCGGTACCGAGTACTCGTACTCAACAAAGTCCAACAGAGAGAAAGGGGAAAAGAAAGTGTTTGGCAATAGGGCAGGGCACGGCAGGGCAAGCCAAGGTGGAAGCACTGCAGGTTTTGCTTGAATCAATCTCTTTGCTCTTTGCGTACAACTTCCTTCTTGGGCAATGAGCAGCCAAAGCCAAAACCGCCTGAATTCTTGCGAGCTTTTCTTTGCGGACTCTAGCTTGACCATTATCTGGATGCTTGATGAGTGGAGTTATAGAAGAGATCATCAATCATGGTTTTCTATGTGAAAGAAAGACCTCAGTCACAGTTACGTTAAATGTATTAAAGGAAAATGTCTCTTGAAGTATATAGTAACTTGGAAGCCGCGTTAGTTCCCCAGTCTTTTTTTTGAAATAATGGTCAAAGTGATCTAAGCCATAAAGTCCCAGCGGCACGAGCCTGTGACTCACAAAGCTATTACAATTTACAATGGGCTTTATTAATACAGCTGTATCCATGCTGGAACTGAAGTAAGTGTCCAAGATATCTACGGTACCGTCCGGTTCAAAAGAAACAAGGAACAATATTATTTGTTTCGCAATGGCAATGCTATTAATTAATTAATTATTTGAAAACAGCGGCTTTAGACTTTTTTTGTTAGAGTAGATGAGTAGACGAGTAGACCTCTTACATCGTACATGCAGAGATAGATGCAGAGATATTTGATCCGAAGAATGAAGGAATGACTGTGATAGCCGATAGCCTTTGCGCGCTGTAGCCATGTAACATGTACATGTAATACAAAAGAGCCTTGGAGATTCAAAAGTCAACACAAGAACTGAATGAAACAGCTATGAAACACAGTTAGTTGGTACGGTAGCCATCGCCTTTTCAGCAAACTATTTTAACTATTTCGCGCGAGTGAGAGTAGCTTGACTACCCGTACGGTACGGAGTAGCAATCCGGCTTGTTCAAGGCAAATGCCAGGTTGCCCTCAACTACCAGCTAGCAGCTGAGGGCCTTTTGAACTTTATCTTGTGTGTGTGTGTGTTGTGTGTGTGGTGTGTGTGTGTGTGTGTTGTGTGTGTGTTGGTGTGGTGTGTCGCGTACATATGGTGCGGTTTCCCTTGCAAGGTTAAGGCTACCGGTACATATGGTGCGGTTGCCCTTGCAAGGTTAAGGCTACCGGTACATATGGTGTGGTTTCCCTTACAAGGTTAAGGCTACTGGTCCAGAACCCTTCCTTGGCCTTTAGAAAAATGCAAGTTGAGGGCACTAGCCTCCGGCTGGCTGTCCTTTTTGGTTTTTGTATTAACGAGCCGATCCTGGAGTTGGCTTTTTGGCTTTACCCATCCGCCTGGTACTAGGCTCTAGCTAGTCTACCTAGCCAGGCTAGCTAGTCTAGCTAGTAGAGCCAACCAACAACTTCTTCCTTCCAGCTTCCAGCTTCAATTCGCTTGCAGTGAGTTTGCTTGGGCTGGTCTCTGATGAGTGCTGGGTGCTTCCGGTACATGCACTTGGGCAATTCTCAATACCGGTACATCTAACAACACCTAGTAGCCATCCACGCCGAGCACCTTTGTGGCTGGCTTCCAAAAGATGGGTTGCTTCGTGCACTACATGTACCGGTCCTGTATAGCATCCCTAAAGCTGGCCACGAAACCAATGATCAATCAGCCTTCACCGCCGCCGTTACGGTACACACGCAGAGTTTTACAAGAAGCCAAATGGCCAATCTAGATTAGATGCTGTGGACTGTGGAGCAAAAAGCAATGAGGATTCAATCCACTCCATCCTGATTCGATTCGTCATTCAATTCAATTATTTGTACGTCCACTTCAGTACACGGTAGCCACGTCAAGGAACTTACTTTTTGCTGGCTTTGGATTGCTGTTTGCTACAGGCGTGCACGGCTCGTCTAGTGTGGCCATCACAGCAGCCAATGTCGTTGTGTGTGTAACGGTCCTTGCTGGCTGGTTCTGCACTGCATAGTACGGTAGGGTGCCGAATACGGGATCTCAATCCCAGGCAGAGGCTCTGCAAGAACCTGGACACAGCAGCACTACGAAACCATTAGGACTACCTAGTAGACTACATCTCACTACTACAATCAGCGCTGTGGCCGAATGCGGTTCCACAGCCAGGCTGGTGTGGAGTTCCTGACAACCGTGGTTCTTGCCCACACAGGTCAAAGATTGGGCGAGTGGCGACACACATAGTCAGCCAACCTGTTGCTCCGCCTCTCGAGATAAGTCCAGATGGGGGTGCAGGCCGGCTGTGCCTGTTCTGGCCCTTCATGCAAAGCAAACAATGAAGCAAACAATGAGGACTCCACTGCATGCTGATTCGATTCCAATATTTGTAATTCTACTTGAGTAGACAGCTTGTAGCAAGCCAAACAAGCAAAAAGAAGACAGTTTCTATTATTATGCTCCATGGTCATGGCAATTGAAACAAAATGGGCCACCGTCTTCCAGAACAGGATCGGACGTGTTGGGACATGCAGTCCCTTGAAACATGCCCGTCACATTGACAGTGGGTGGAAGCCGCTCCCCCCACGCACACAAATCTTGTGCAAAGGAGGATGCCCCTTGAAAGGCATACCGGAGATCCGACACTAACGATACATTCCAGTGTGCCAAATCCTGATCCAATGCCGTGGCACCTTGAAAGATGGAGTACATGGATGTCACGTTCGATACATCCCACACTCCAATCGGTTGGTTGAATCGTACCGCCGCGCCAAACGCCAACTCCATGTTGGTGACGGACTGCACATTCCACGACGAAATGTCTTGATCAAAACTGGATGCCTTCCAAAAGATTTTGAGAAAGTTGACGGCACTACTCATATCCCAGGCGGACAAGTCTTCATTAAAGAGTGGTGCTCCTTCCGCAAAATGTCCCATATCAACGACGTTACCGGTATCCCAGTGGGACATGTTGGCGTGTGGAATGTTACTCCATCGCACGAGTTGATTCAGTGTCTGGACGTTGGAGACGTCCCAGGCACCCAGATTCGGCGGATCATTGTCGGTTGGCCAGTGCGTATCGAGAAAGAGTGCCCGGAGACTGAGCATGTTACTCGTATCCCAGTGTTGGATTCCCCACGCGGACGACATGTTTTGCACGCCTCGTAGCATTTCTTCGACATCGTGCGCTTGCGACATGTCCCAGTCACTGAGATCCGGTGCAAACTGTTTGGCCGCTTGCGTCAATTGTTCGTTGCGCGTAAAGTACTGCGGTCCTCGGGTACGACTGGTCTGAAAGACATGAGCAAATCGGCGAATGTGAGTGACACACCACGTTCCCATGGGCCAACCGTATTGGAGTGAAACATTGGCAGTGGGACTGCCATCCAGCAGATAGGCATCCACGGCATCCAATAGATCTTGTGTGGACTCAAAGCAACGACTGTCCTTGTTGTTGTTGGGCAGCTTTGGCTGGCTCTGTTTTTGCTGTTGCTGTTGCTGTAGCACTAGCATAATGACAATGGCCACCAAGAGCAAGATAATGACAATGGCAGCAGTGGCTTGTAGCATGTTTCTTCGTTTGGTATTGGCGGCCACGGTGGAAGCATCGGTGTGGGTACTGCGCACGTCTATTTCTTCGGCAATGACAATCATGACGTCGGTATCATTCGTAGCTGCCACTAGCTGCGCTTCAATGAGACTTCGATCCGTCCCCAAGGAACTCACACTGGGTGGTGGAGGTGGTACAGGAATACCTGACATACCTGTTGTAGTATCCATAGTAGCAGTGGCCAAGGTGGCAAGTCTGGGGGTCTGAATGGAAAAGGCCCCAACATCTCGCCAATAGGGGGCACCGGTAGTACTGCTGAGGGTAGGAAGTGGCTGAACAGATCTCTGCGCTTGCAGGATCATTTGGGAAACATTCAGTTCAGTCAGGGCCTCTGCAGATGATACATGCATTCCTTTGGCAGTACCTGTACCTGTACAAGTGTCAGTACAGGTAGAAGAGGTAACATCCACATCACCATCAGTCAGTTCTTCTACTTGTGTTTCTTCTTCCACCATTAGAAATCCTTGGGCCTGAGCTATCAGAATGGACTTCTTAGAGTCACAGTCACAGTCCTCCTCTGCACCATTGCTACTAGTACCTCCAGTACTACATGTACCATCACCTCCAGTAGTAGTACCGGTAGTATCCACTGTACTGGTAGCGGCTTCTTCTGGATCTAGATCTGGATCTGATGCCTGCTCCTCCATATTATGTGTGGCACATATACCTGTACCCTCACTCACAACCTCATTGGGGTTGCTGCTACTACTGCTGCTGCTGCTGCTGCTGCTGCTCATCCTAAGGCTGCTATCTGCTGTTTGCTTACTCTCTTACCACTCTATCAAGTGAAGCATAGAATATCTGATAGTAGCTAGCTGGCTAGAAGTAAGGGTGGCTTCGCGGTAGGCAATCATGAGAATGCCAGCGCTACACTCTGTTGCCTTCCATCTCTCGGCTTGGGAAATTCTTGCCGCAGCAGAGAACCCTTTCTGGTGCGAACCGGAAATTGAGAAGTGAATAGAAACTCAGTCACACAACAAAACCACCAAGATCAAGCTTGATTTAAATCCTAGTTGCCAGCAGTCAGACGATTTCTAGAAGAGTGAAAGAAATATTGACGTGTTCTCAGACTGTTCTGCTGGATCAATGGTTGCAGTTTTTTATCACGTGAGAAGCCGAGTTACTTAAAGATCCTATCGAGATCAGGTAAAAACTGTTTTCCTTGCCGTTACTTACTTGATCATCGAAAAGCCAGAAGAGCAGCTGGAAACAGAAGACTCAATCACGGAAGTTATAATCATGCAACTGCCGACCATTGCAAGAAGGGCAAGAACAGGGAGTGTCTATGGCAAGAAGGTTTGCAGAATCGAATCAGCCAAGGTGGTACTATACTGTATCAAATGCATAAACAACTGGCATGGGGCCGGAGCATAGTCCACGGTCCACGGGTGTTGTACTCCTACCGTACAGTATTGACGTGGCCAATCCATCTACAGTGAGGGACTAGCCGAGCTCTAGCTGCTTTGAACAATATCTCACCATGAGCAACATGAATAACGCGAAATCCAACAATGCGGGGCGGGCAATGCATCAGGACACCAGCGAGACCACATCAGACGAAAATGGAGAAGGTTTGACCCCCTGCTGCTGGAAGTGGTTCGAGATCGGTCTGCCAGTAGCGAACTACCAGCAGAAATGGATTGTGGCACCAGTAAGACCGCCTCAGACAAAAACGGGGAAGGCTTCCACCCTCTCCTGCTGGAAGTGGTTCGAGCACGGTCTGCCAGTAGCGATCTACCAGCAGTATGGGACTCTGAAACTGAGGGAAGCAAGGAAGCCAAGCAAGGCAACATGTCACTGAAGGGAGACTCAAAATCAGAGAGGATTGTGAAGCTTGCATCTGGTTGGGTACTCAAGGAAACACGCAATGTATGCAAGAAGACGCCTCAAGACGAAGATGAAGATGACCTGATTCAAGATATCTTAATTCAAAGAAACGCTACTGCTCTCGCTGATAGGGATACAGCCTTAGCACAAGTTGCTTTGACCAGGACAGCTAGTACCGGCAGTGCCTCTACAGGCTCGGTATCACTTTCCGCCACAACTGTTGCCTCAGGCGGTCTTCGTTCTCAAGGGACCGGAGCAAGCAACAGTTCCTTAGGTCCAGGTGCCTATGCAAGCTCTTTTGGTGCAGCTACCAGACTATTGCTGCGTCCTCCCATCTCGCGCGAAAACTCGCTGGCTGCCATGAGCATTCACGATGACGATGATGATGATGACGACGACGATGACTCCAGCACCTTGAGCTTCCGTGAGGATAACATGGACATGGATTTTTCTAGGTACACACACAATGGTGACGCCATGGATTTGTCGATGCAGGCTCCCAGTACTCCGTCTCTGGTCTTTCTTCCAGTATCCGTAGCCACCAATGGACACTTCAACGACGAGAGTACAATGGATCGTTCTCCTTCAGAGAGGCAGCTGGTCGAGGCAACACCCGTCCATGAAGACGAAGAAGTTGGCATGCCAGTGGCCCTTCCAGCCCAAGACCGAATGACGAACGCCAATGCCAGAAAGGAACGAAGCACGAAAGATCTCAAATACCTCTCACCCTTGTTTTTCTTGCTTGTGCTACTGCTAATTGTCATTTTGGCTCTCTTGCCTACCATCAAAAGCAGCAGCAGTAACAGCAAGACCACCGAGACTGAAGCATTGGGTGGTGAGCCAGGAGCTCTTGAACTAGTCCATGATCCTGATCTACTGAGCCTCGAGCTTCCCGTCAATTCGACGACGCTATGGGAAATCCAAAATGACCCCGAGTCGCCTCCGGCTTTGGCCTACTCATGGCTCCGGGCCGATCCAAGCTTCCCCAGAATCCACGCTTTCGAAAGATCCAGCGATTGGTGTTGGCAACTCTCTACTACACATTGGAGGGAGACAATTGGTGGATCAACTTTGGATGGACCGAGCATGAAGAGCATGAATGTGAATGGTTCAACATGGCAAACCTTCCTCCTCTGTCGGCCGACAGCTGTGACGAACAGGAGAGACTATACAAGCGCTCGTACTCGTACAAGATGGGATGAAAGGAACCATTTCCAAAGAGATTGGGCTACTGACAGACTTGCAACTGCTCATCTTGGGCCGGTCCGAGTTGCGGGGAACCATTCCGTCCGAACTTTGGAACCTTCCGCAGCTCCAGGCTCTGGCACTGCACTACAACGAACTGACCGGTACAATCTCGCCAACCATGATGGAGTCTTTGGGAAATCGTGGAATCCAGTACTTGGGTCTTGCGGGTAATCTTCTCACTGGAGGCATCCCCAGCGAAGTCGGCCTCCTGAAGAACGCTACTCATCTCGGACTGACGCGCAACTATATGAGTTATCGGGCTCGATCACCTCCCATCGTGGAGAAATGACGAGTCTGGAATCTCTTGGGCTGGGGTTCGCGTCATTGTCGGGGACGATCCCGTCGGAATTGGGCAACCTTCAGCAGCTCGAGACCTCGGAATTGAGAGACAACGATCTTTCCGGCACACTTCCCTCCGACCTCTCGAGATTGCACAAGTTGAACACGCTTGATGTATTGGGCAACAGGCAAATGAATGGGACGGTTCCAACAAACATTTGGAAGCTATCCACTTTGGAATTCTTGTATTTGGCGCTCACTGGTGTGAGCGGAACGATACCAATGGACATTGCAGACACCCTGCCCAATCTATCATGGTTCCAAATCGATGAATCGTTGCTCACAGGAACTATTCCACCGTCGCTCGCCGACCTGAGGCATTTAAAGACACTGATCTTAAAAGGCACCCACTTGACGGGTCCGATTCCCAATAGCCTTTGGACAGCAGACGCCCTGGAGTTGTTCTCTCTGGGAGTCATGGTCCACGGGCACATTCCATCCAATGATGATACCGAATTGACTGTGCTTCCAAATCTACGACGCTTGCATATCGAGAGTCCCACTGTTACAGGGAGAATTCCACAGACACTCTGTGGAATAGAAACCTTGCTGTTTCTTTGTTCGAAAACACTTTGTGGGTGTGAGCAGTGAGCAGTGCGAATGCCCTCATATGTAGCCGACACGTTGACACTTTCGAGTATGGATAGGATAAGGGGCTGAATTGAACCAGTTTTACAAGAGGCATGTTTTGCTTGTAATGACTCTGAGTCGAGTCTATGTATATGTATGTATGCGTAGGCACAAGTGGTCTTGGTTTTCCATTAGGGCAGCGCTGTTCGTAAAGTCAGAGCCTACCTGCATGAGGCACTTGAGGTGCTTGGTCCCTACATCCAGCAGACAGAATCAACGGGGGTTTTAGAGTAGGGAGTGCTGCCATTGGTGATTGTGTCGTGTGCAGTTGTTGAGCAAAGAGGGGTCTACTATGAAGCCAACTACAGCCCTGCAAATGGGTCCACGCAGAGCCCAGGCCTCGGGAGTGAGGGTGGGTCAGTTGTCTACTCAATAGCTGTGGTCACTGGGCCATTCTCGCCACAGATTGACTGGTGACCGGAAGCTGTCCAGGAAGTATAGTATAGTTTTGATTGGGGTTCTCCACTCTTTCACGTTGCCGAGGCCTAAGGTTGGCGGGAGTTCGTGTTTGAGCTGGCGGTGCAGGTGGGTTGCCGACTACAGGGAGAGCACCAGGGGCAAGTTGTTGGAACTCGTTTGGCTATAGCTGGTTGTACAATCCAAAGATGACACGCCAGTCAAGTCGCAAGCTTATAGTCGAGGCCGTAATTTTGGGACCTGGCGACTTTCGTATGCGGTATAGGCAACCAACAGTGCCTCGAGCTTTGATTTGCTGGTTTGTGAGGCCATCGCGGAGGGCAAACTCACCGTTGAGGTGCAGAATGCAAGGCAATTCGTTCGGAGAGGAGACAGTGAACCTACCGGTAGGTGCTGAGTGGTGCCCAAAGCTTCCCGGGACCTTCAACACTAAAGTTCTTCATGGACAAGGAAGGAAATTGCGGGATAGCGGCACCAGTAGGAGGATCGTTCGCGACCACTCGGGACTCGGTGGCTCTGGAGTTCGGATGCTAATCTTGCTTAAAGCTTTGCATACCGTATTCCCAAACGCTGCATAAATCCTTGCGTCCTCCGACAATCGCTAACACACAAACTCGATCGTAGTAAGAACACCCCGACGATGTGCACCGGCCACCAAACACCAAAGACAAGAAAAGCACTTGCTATACCTGAAGTAGAAGTTTGATGTCCCCAAGCCAGAAGAAGCCTCACAGAGAGAGGCCATGCCTATGGTAGACAAGAGATAGGACCTGATCTGATTTTGGCAGGAAAAGGGATGCTGTTAGTCACTGCGGTCAAGGCGAGCATATTTGCGGTAATTTCGAGGGCGTTGTCCACTTACCTGGAAGTGAGTGTGACAGATATTGAGGCCAAGCTGTTGCAACGAGATGCTTCCTTGAGACTGCAAAATGTCAAGGTGCGAGAGCAAAAGATTCCCCTCTCTATTCAATCCCAGAATGTAATGTGCTTTCTGATCATCAACGGGACCATAAATGCACTGGAATTGGACTGGACTTGGTCTTCTTCTCCATTTTCCCTGATCGACCATGTAAAATTGAGACTTCGCGGACTGAATCTGAAGCTCAATTTTCGCTACGAGAAAGAGTCAGAAGAAGCCTTCCTGGCTAGATCACACCCAGTCGATTATTTTGACCAAGAAGAGGGACCCAATGCTAAACCCGACAATTCTCTTTTCGGGCGCTGGCAACGAGAAATACAACGCGTAAAAGACGCTGTAACATGCCATGTGAAAGACTCTTCATTGATCCAACAAACCATTCGGGATATCATCAATTCATTCTCTATCAGAATAGACTATTCAAACATTGACGTTCATGCACCCTTCACTAGCAATTTCATCCGAGTGTCATTTGACACCTTCCATCTTGGCACGGACAAGGAGAAAAGAGAATTGAGGATGCGGTCGACACCATTGATGGTGGAAGGAGCTTTAGAGCGGCTTTCTGTCGAGCTGCATCATGGGCTCACAGGAAGAGCTTCATATCCAATTGTAGAACCATTCACTTTTGAAGCAGCAGCTCGCAGGGTGGCTGGAGCCAGGTTTCAGGACCTTACATCTGGGTATGAGCTGATTGTCAAACAAGTGAAAACCCAAGAATCTGCCAAGCAAATTGATCATGGTATCATACTTCATTGGTCAGATGATGTCAAGGCAGCGTTGTCTCTACTCCAAGATGCCTTCCAAGGAGAGTCACCTTCGGCTCCCGACTATGATGCAGAGATCTATCGCTCAAAAAAAGACCCAAACATTGCTGAGCTTTGGCCTACATCAATGAAGCTGCTTCTGAGCCTTGTATCTCTGATTGGCGTTACCAATATTACAATCATCATCAGATTCATTCTCCGTGGTTTGGGCTTACTTGACGGAGAATATTTGACGATGGCTTCATGGATCATCTTCTTCCTCTTGTCGACATGGATATTAGTAACACTGTTGGATCTCTGGTTGGCCTCCCATGCCAACCAAGTGGAGAAAAGCGCCAAAAGAGGACTTCCAATGCAACACCTGAAAGAATACCCTGCAATCTACCGATTACCGCTACCCTTCATCACAGTCATTGCTGAAAATGATGTCCGCATGAACATGGCAAACGTTGTTCTAGTTGGAAGAATGGATTTTACGAGGACACATTTCTCTGCCACTTCATTCACAGTGAAAACCAAAAAGAGATCGGTTCCTGGACCCCAAGTATCGTCGAAAGGAATTCGAGCCAGATACCAGCACAAGAGACTACTTGTGAATGTCGATCTCATAGACGACTTGTACATTCCAGGAAAGATTCATCTTGTGAGAGAGTTGGAAAGCGCAGTCATTGTTTTCGAGGAAGGCAAGATGACCATTAAGCTAAAGGCTGTCACGGCCCGCCTGCTTTCAGATGGCGACATGATAGAGCATTCGGAGAGTTTGCGTATGTCACATATAACTACAAACTTTCAAAAGGTGGCAGAAAAATTCCAAGTCGCCAGAAGGGTTGTGAAGGAAACTGGAATGAAACTCTCCAAAGAGACGAAGAATGGGTTTAAAAATGTCAAGTTCAAAATGAAATCGCAAAGAAAGAGATCATTTGACGCTGAAGAAATCGAAGCCCGAAATCGATTGCAAGCTGAAGTATATGAAGGGCTTGTAAAACTCCAACGAATGGCTGGCATGTTCGAGCTTATACCTGTACAAAAGCACCGCCAAAACTTCCGATTATACCCGAATTCATTTCGTGGCACTCACGCCGTGGATTACATTCTGCAAAACAACATCGCACCAAACCGACCAGAGGCAGTCAAACTTCTCCGAGATTTTGAGGTGGAATTTGGTCTTTTTGAGAGTGTAACCAGAGAATACAAGTTCCGCGATCAGCACGATTGCTTGTATCGATTTGTGCACCCTTCGAAACGACGCTTTTGGTTGAAACAAGAGCTTCCTTACGACTATGTCGAGACATTTGAAAGAACTCCCCAGAGCTCCGTTCTTCCTTTCCCGATTATGGTTCTCACTGAAGGTCTTATTCTAGTTAGACAAGACAGTGAGAGCAGCGACCTACTTACTGCTTCCAAAGGAGAGCTTCATCTTCAGAATGGGAAGCTATCCAGATCTGTGGACTTCACAATATTGGCACGGGGGCTGAGGAGCAAAATGATTGCCATGACAAATGCCAGATTGCACGGAATAGTGGACCCCGAAGTTCCAAAGCTAATTCATCGCTTTCAAGTTAGCCTTGAGACGCTCACAGTGAACCCAGAGTACACGATTGAAGATTGGTTCCACAGACTCGGTTTGGTGTTCGATGATGATGACGAGGACAAATCACTGGAACTTCGACAGATCGATGACGAGGACAACGAACCATACAGTCTCCCACACATGTTTGTATCAGATTTCAAGCTACAATTGACCTGGAAAGGATTGTTTGTAAGAACAAATGAAGCCACAATCTCCGTGCAAGGCATGAACGGTACAGAAAGCAGCTCCTCTGCAGAGCTCATCAAGGACTTTGTGATCCACGTGTTGGGAAGGGCTCCGGGCATACTGTCGAATGTACAATTCATGGGGGTCAATATAACGGAATCTTCCGGAGTGGCTATTGTGATGAATTTTGGATCAGAGTGGATTCCAGGTGGCCAATACATCAGCCTTGGTGCTATGGCGCTATACGATTTTGCCTGTGTGGCTATTGATGCTGGCAAGGCAGCCCGTCACGATCCTACGGGTGACTGGCAATGGGGGGATTTCCCTCTCGGCGTCTGGTTTGCTGGACTTGACACTGCCCGTGCTGGCGCAAAGCAGAGGGGTAAGACCACGGACGACTTTTATGATGAAGATGACAGAGTCCAGCTGGACCCTCTTGATTTTGCTGTTGGAGCAGCGTATGGGATTGGCACTTATGCGAACACAAACAAGGCACGATTCATGGGGGCAACACTTGCTGCTTTTACCGCAATTGGTCTGACAGTTGCTTTAGGGCCTTTACCTGCAATAGCAGCTGGAATTGTTGTTGGATCGAGCACTGAATTAGCACTTGTAGAGTTGGAAAGACGGGGCCTCATCTTACTCAAAAATTACGCAAACAAGAACACAAACAAGAAGTTGGATGACAAAGATTCTGAAGCTTCAGATTTTGAGATCGAAGAGGAAGCAGACAGTTTTGACTTCGTTGGGTCATAATGAAAGCTATTGTTCGTAGGAATCAACAAGCTTGCCATTAGTAGCTAGCGTTTCTCCATTGGTACCGTAGATGTGGCTGGCTCTCCAGGCAGCCTCCTATCGATACTCGCTTGGGTTGGAAATGAGCCAGAACCCCGTACCCTCGCATATCTTTAGAAGCTACGACGTACCATCGCTACCACTAACTGCCTTATTCAAAGTTCGAGCGAAAACGGAGTCACACCTGACGACGACAAAGTTGTACGTTTCCATGGCGTCCTCGTCATTCCTAATCCGACGGGACACCTCTTTGTCTGCAAGGCGCTGCTTGCAGATTGGATTCGACTCGATTCATTCGAGTCTCGTCCAAGCCAAGTGCGCTGATGTTTTATAAGTTAGTTTTCCTCGATGATCAACTCTGGGCATCGTTTGCATGGTAATGTTCGGGAGCCATGTCACGATGACAGGTAGGTCAGGCGATGTATGTATCAATTGTCAACAGGTGTTTATGAAGCGAAAATATGAAAACAGACAGACAGACAGTTGTCGCATAATATTGATGTATGTAAGTCAACACGATCCACCACAACACAAACCAAATAAAGAATCTGTGTGCAGATCACATTCGTTCTTTTTATTGGGGCTTGGGGCCTTTTCGACGGCCTGTCGAAGACCCTGCACTGCTATCAATGCCGTCGATTGCATCTGCCTCCTCGTCAGGATCAAAATCTAGATCGTCGGAAGAGCTGTTGTAGGCATTGCCGATGATGGGTTTGACGGTGAGTGGGTCGCTGTTTTGGACGTAGTTCAAGAACTGCTCCATTTGTGCGAGTTCCGAGAAGGTTCCGTTGATTGGAGCTGCTCCGGTAGCAGATTTGGAGTAGGGTCTCGATCGTGATTTGGGTGTCGGTGATGTTGTCATGCTGGCCCGGCGACTTCCATCGGTACTGCCGCTGCCACTCTTGGATCGTCTATTATTATCGCCACCTTGCAATTTGCCCTTGCTGCTCTCACTGCGTTGCACACCTCGTCCAAAGACGGATTGTTTAAAACTGGCAATGGCACTATTGCCCGATCCACGTCGTTTTTGCTTGTCGCTGTCTCTGGATCGTTTGGAATGAGTGTTATTTTTGGAATTTTGAGTTGCTGACGACCCGTTGGACGATCGATGTTCCGCCGAGCCTCGTCGTGACATGCTGGCGCCACTATCGGTGGATCCACGCCGCGATGCCAAGCTTTCGGTGGACGTTCGACGTGAGAACAATCGACGCGGTGGATACAGCTGCTGCGGCTGTTGTGTTGGTGGACTGGTGCTCAAGTACGCCGAGGACGGTCTGGCATCTTCGTAGCCATAATCGTCCTCGTCTTCCTCGCCGTATTCCAGTCGTTGGACACTTTCACCGAGTCCGACCATTTTGGACATGCGTCGTCCCGTGGATTTGACGAGCTTTCCGGTACCCACCACGACATCCGATGCCACCTTTCCAGTTCCCACCACCACTTTTCCAGTACCCTTGACGGTTCCCACGACCACATCGGTGGCTACCTTTCCAGTACCAACGACCACATCGGTGGCTACCTTTCCAGTTCCCACCACCACATCATAACCAAGTTTTCCAGTTCCCACCACAACATCGGTGGCCACTTTGCCAGTTCCCACAACGACCTTACCAGTTCCTTTGACCATTCCTTTTCCAACTTTACCAACGGCCAATCCAGTGGCATTGGCGGATAAAAAGATGGTCCGTCCAGTACCTTCGGCAGCTCCGGTGATGAGTTCCATAATATTCGTGTTGAGTGCTTTGAGTGCACTGAGAGGTGTATTGGATGCCGCACTGGTAGCTTCGAGTGCATTTTCGGCTCTAATCTTTTTGGCATCATCCACTTGGAGTGTCATTTCGGCAATTTCGTCAATGGAAAAGCCAGCGTTCATGAGCCTGACATGATAATATGACAAAAGGAAAAATGAGGTTAGAATGAGTTGGGCGCAGAACTCGTTTCAGAACAAACAGAAAACGTCCGAGAGCACGAGCATTCCGACAATACGATACGATACGATACGATACGATACGATACGAAATGGGCATCCAGACCAGTCGAGAACAAAAGGACGGTGCTGGCTGCTGAGGAACCTCGAATTGTCGTGTCTGGCAACGAGGGCTCAGAGTCCAAATCAAAGCCTGCTTTGAGACTGCAACTCTTGATTCAGAGGCCTTTGCTAGCTGCCCAGCCAACAAGCGATAGGTAGATGGTCTGAAGTAGAGTTTTCCAGTTTGGCCAAGTCTTGCTGATGCATGCCATTATCCAATCTCTTGATATACCTTCTTCATCATGTGATTGTGTGATTTGTGTTCTGCAGACTTGACTTACATTTTTGCTCGTTTATTGGTGGACAAAATCATTCGTTTTCGATGTCTTCGTTCGGGTCCTCTGAGATACTCGTAAATATCAACGTCAATGACATCGTGTGCCATGGGTTTCCAATCGATGGTCAGTGGAGCACCTCTGGAGACGGCAGGATTGTCGCCCAGAATCACGGGAAACTCATGGATAAAGACTTGGTCAAACTTGACTGCCTTGGGGATGCCAGGGGCAGTGGTGGACATGCTTCTTGTAGTAGTGGTAGATGTACTAGTAGATGTACTAGTAGATGTAGATGTAGTGCTAGTAGTAAGAATACTGGTAATAGGAGTTGATTTCTTCTGTTTTGGTTGCTGGAGAATAGTGGCAGTGGTGGGAGGGCACATGCTCAGTCAAATGGGTAGCAATGGAGGAAGATAATGGGAAGATGATGGTGGGTAGCAGCGAGAAGAATGAGGATAATGCCAATGAATGAATGGGGTATCCTGTTTGCTTCTCCTTTTGAGTACAAGAGCTTTGCAAGTAGCCGTCAAGAACAAGTGGGGGTAAAGCTATAGAGCTGTGGCACCACAAGACCAACTAGCTATAGAAGCCAAGAAGATGAACAAGAGGAAAAGGAAACACAAGATGTGACGATAAGATGATGATAAAGGACACAGAAACCTCAACCAACGAGAAACACCCGAGGGCAGAATTCCTTGCAGGATCGATCAGTCTTTTACATACATTAGCAGATGTCAGATGATGGTCACTCTGACGGAAGGATGAACAAAAACTGCTTCCGCATTCTCCATAGTGCCCGAACAATCTCATATTGGATGAAGGGGTAAATATAAGCCAACACACCGAAGCTGTCCATCACCACCCAAGATAGTCTAGAAGATAGACATCATTGTACGTAGTCCAATACCCCAGCTAGCCACTCTCTCTATTAATAGCTAGCTAGCTAGACACTCACTCCACTCTAAGATTTCGCACCTAATGCGTTACAAGGCTAGCCGGTATGTAGAGGTTGAAAGATACAGAAGTCGAAGTCGAAGTCCAAGTCTCAATCTAGGTAATCATTTCCAACCTCGTGTTCCCTTGGCCTTGTAACTTCTCGTAAACGAAGCTCGATACATGTACCTTTCGGTGTTAGTTAGTGAGGATGGACAAAAACTACTAAGTCTTGCAAGCATCATCCAACTACTCTTTAGAAACCCCCATTTTGACCCCCTTGTGCAACAGACTGAACCGAAAGTATTTGCTCCATCTCCCTCGAATACTTTCGGAAAGTCTTAGTTAGGTCTGCTGGTACTATTGATTTATAGTAAAGTTTCAATCTCTTATGTACCGGTCTTCTATTATAAATGTGGACATCATCTGGTCATCATGTAAATGCCTCGTTTGCTCTTTTGCTTTCTCTTTATTTCCCGGTGGGAATGAACGATGCTTTGTTGCTGCAACTAACTTCCTTGCATGATCGGCAGGATTGGTTGAGTAGGTCGGGTATATTCGAATTTGAAACAAAAAGATATTGTTACCATATCTACCGCAAAGCTGTCGTCACTGTCTCTGGGTACACGCATACTGGCAAAAGGCAGAAACCAGCCACTTTTCCTTCGATGTTGGCACCGCAGGTCAACAGAAAAGAACATTGGAGCCTGCCCACTGCCTGGCAGTGGCGACTTGCTAACAGCGATTAGTCTCTGGATTGCTTGTGAAGGCCAAGCTGTTGTCTCCCCCAGTCTGGTGGTTGGACTCCTTCTTGACTTGAATGACATTGTGCTGACACTCAGAATCAAAAGCCGGTACAGAGCTCCCACCAAGCCATAGAGGAGTAACGTCGTAGCCGGCTACTCAGAGGTAATAGGTAGTGGTACCGTACCGGTAGCTGGCCAGCCTTGCATCTTCTTCGCTTTCCCAAGCTCGTGACGCCAAAGAATCCTCGATTGAAATGCCAGAAAATGGCAGTTAAATCTATGGTCCCGTCAATCTTGTTGGGGCTGATTGAAGATTGAAGGGCTGTTGGCTGTACATGTACACATGTACTCGTACTGTTGGCGTTGGTCGATTGAGGCGGCAACCACAAATAAATCCAGCTTTCTTTTTTAAAAAATAAAATTAACTTGCAGCTGTACCAGAACTGGCATTGTGTTAAATCTTTTGTGACATCGGGCACAAACCTCTTGCGCTTGTAGCCCTAACGCTACTGAATTCATCCCATTATTGTCATTTATTGCCATGCCCTCGCTCTTCCGCACATACATCCCGGAGGGTTGACTTTGGCTATGACTTACACGCATCCTATCCTTCCTTCAGCTGCCCAAGCCCTTAGTGGGATATAGCCCTTAGTGGTGTTTTCAATACAGTATGACTTCTTCTCTTAGGAATTATCAGGGCAATGGAAAACTGGCGACAGCAACGACGAACCTTTGCAGGACGCAACAGGGTACCTACGGATATCCGCCACCAGCCCTGACGCCTTTTGCAATCTCCATGTGCTGCGGACACAGCAAGACCAAAACAACAAGACGTAGATGATGATGAATCTGTACCATATTAATAGTCGTGTCTGAATGACAGCGGTACCATCGGACGACTCCGGAAAAGGCAAACAATGACGACCTGACTATATTCTTGCTGCAATCTCTCTAGAGGCAGAAAGCATTTGATTGTTTGATTGGATTGTCAATCAGGGCCCAACGCAGTTGGAGTATGACTCTCTCAATTTGGTTCAGTTTGTTTTCTTTTGGTTCCCTTCTACTATCAGACAACAAGGTACAAGCCAGGGAAGGAGTGCCATCCTCCAGCAACTACTAAGAGGAGGGTTGCATCATCAGATTCTGTGATGGACCTGATCATAACTCAGGGGGGGGCGACATCAATCATTTGGGGATTGGTGGCGCTTGGAAAGTCATGAATGCCAGTTGCGCTGGAGTCTCAACCCAAACCATTCCCTTTAGAAGCGGGGTTGCTTTGGTTGAGTTTTCTCCATGAATTCTCTGGCAGATCCTTGTTACTGGATATTGGGAAGCACTGATGGAAGTTTGAAAACCAAACAAACTCTTCTGTGTACGGTAGCCCAAGCTCATGCAAGGTCCTTTGATTTGCTGCGGTGTGCCACCAAGAAGCCTACTGGAACATTGAAGTTAGCCCGTCATGACTTGAAAGCTTTGTGGGGTGCAGTGTAAACCAATTCTCTGGCACATCTTTGCCGCTTGAACTCTTCTTCCAGAGTTCCCTTGAAGGCCTGATATTGGGAAGCAATGATGTAAGTGAGTTTTCTGTGTAACCAAAGCTCATACAAGGTCCGCTTGCTGCTGTTTGCCACCAAACAGCTTACTGGAACAGAGCCCATGCAGTGAAGTATGCACAATCATCCAAGAGACTATTCCTGAAGAAATCGATCGGACTTGAAAGCAGTGTTTACAAATACAACCTTTCTGGAACAACCAGTTCATTAATTGGTCTTTTAGAAAACAAACCTGGTGAATCAACAAATTCCAAGCATTGCCAATAAGACTGATGAGTCTACTAGCAACGGGAAATGAGCTCTTCAAATCCCTTTCTGCAAGAATTTTTTATGCTGGGGAGGAAAATACTCTTGAAGTTGTTGCTAACTATTTCCATATTATGGATTAGGTCTTCCTCTTATTGAGTGCCATGAGCACTGTTGTTCAAGTTGTTGCGACGAGACAGGGTTCTGCCTTGACAACTAACTTATCATGTGAAGAATCCTATATGGAAACGGAACTTGCTTTCGTCGAGCAATGCGAGGTGCTTGTACATCGGTAGCGTCGCCGGTTGAAGTTGTGGCCCTTCTTTGGTGTACCAGCCAAAAGAAGGGTGAAGCAGAGCAGTGGTACAGGTCCAAACGAGTTCTGCGCTGAAAGACGCGAGGATATCAGCAGCAACCTTCCTTACCAAGTGCGGAGCAGCCTTATCAAGTGGTGACTGCCACTCTCAACGCACACGGGTAGATGGAGCGAGAAGTCAGTCAGCTACAGTATTCTCCCGAAGAATCCGAGAAAAGTACGATGCCTCCATACGAACCTCGTATGGATTTCTCAGCACCGGGGCTGGTCTACCGGTATAACGTTAGGTCTCGATTGGCGCTGCATGAAAAGTGCGATTGAAGCATTCCTACGATCGAATGCCTCGCAAGTATTTTAGTCCACGTCGGTCGCCATCGCCACTTGTGCGTCCACGAGACTACATGTACGAAGAAAGTGATCTCTAGCTAGACCAATCCAACCCAACGTCTCGGCATGCTTGAAGCCAAAACCTTCCGAATCTTCGTGGTGGTTTCGCCAATCACGAAGTTACGATGTTTGCCACGAGACAACGAAACTAGACCATTCTTAGCCTTTGACGCCTCGGGGTGCCCACTTGAGACTAATGGCGACGCCACGTCCCTGTCAACCTTCGTGTGGCTCTTTTAAAATAACGATTGACCATGTCTCGGGACACGAAGCTTGGCTGTCGTGGCATGAAATCGAGCGATACTCTCGGGTTCAGTTATCCTGCAGCAACGATCTAAATCGTTGTGGCCGACGAGGGCTTTTCCGTCCGCGTGCCCTCTGCAGCATGAACAACCATGCATCGGCGCTGCGCTGCCAACATTCTTGATGGAACACCGGCCACAGAGACCAACAGGGAATGCCTGACCGCTTGGCTTCTCGACACCATTGGTACCATCGCCAGTTTCCAATCACAACCAGCCAGCCACGTGTATGTCGACAAAGACCCGTTCTTGACAAATTCCTTCGTAAAGTCTGTAGTCGACACCAGCCAGACAGCCGACGCCCGACAGCAACAAAAGAAGAAAGAGGGGCAAAAAGAGAAATATACCGTGGATTGAGATACGTAAATCAGCCACTATCTATTGTTGTTTAATTCGCTTTTTTGCTCAGTTGTAGCCTCCATGCAATGCACGCATTCCGTTAATTGATGAGTGCCCAACGGGAAGAAGGAGGGGGTCAGCGAGAAGCAGTGAACTTTCGTTTCCACGTTCTTGCACCTCGTTGTTGTCAGGAAGGAAAATCGGGCTTGAATAAAAGGGTTCGTAGCTGCTGGAAAGGAGATCACGCGAATTGTCATGCTGATTTCTTTTGTGTCTTTGTGCGGTGTTGCACTGCGTGTGTTTGTTGTTGTTTGTGAATTTTGTTGTTGTTGTTTATTTTTGTTGTTTTTGCTGCTGCTGTAGTTCCTGGCCGGCTTGCCGTTTTCCTAGCACGAACAACCCCCCTCCATACCGGCCTTGTACATCCGATAGCGGTCATTGTATTGTGGCACACATCAATCAGTATGCCTGTGTGCTTTGCTTCCCCAGCGCTCTCTTAACTTGTTCGGGGTCCATCTCTTGCAGATGCATCATGAATTCTTCCATTTCTGCCAACTCGTCCATCACGGCGTCTTCTTGTGCGGTTAGCAAGGGGTTACTGTTGTGGTTGTTGCTATTAGTGCCAACAGGTGCACTGCTGATGCGAGTAGTCCTTCCAGGTCGAGGAGGGCTCAGTTCGGTATTCCGACGATCCTTTTTGGATCTGCCTCTCTGCTGGGGAGCACTGTGATTGCTGTCTTCGAGATTATCATCATCCTCATCTCCTTCCAATAAATCGATGTGCTTCAAGTGATCCTTGGTATCTTTCAAATCGGCCGTGCGAATGAGTTCGCCCTGGGAAAAGATATTGGTAATTCTTCGTGGTGCCTTTCCAATTCCCTTGAGGGTCCCCTTGACGGACTTGCGGGTCCCCTCCACGACGACATCGGTACCCTTTTTGAGCAAGGTTCCCGTACCAACGACCGTACCAACAACGACATCGGTGGTCACTCGACCAGTCCCCACGAGGACTTTACCAGTACCCTTGACGGTACCGACAACGACATCGGTGGCGACCTTTCCAGTGCCCACGACGACATCGACACCCAATTTACCCGTGCCCACCACCACATCGGTGGCAAATTTGCCCGTGCCCAAGACGACATCCCCGGCAACCTTTCCGGTACCCATGACAATTTTACCGGTACCGGTAACGACGGCCATGCTGGCCTTTCCGACGGCTTGTCCACTGGTCTGCAACGCACCACCAATGGCATCAATTCCCACGAGCTTGAGGGTCCGTCCAGTGACTTCGGCCGTCCCCGTCATGAAATCAGCGAGATTGACATTGAGATTGGAAAAGTCCCATTTTCCAAATTCCTTGACGGATTCGACTCGTTGGCGTTTGGAATTTTGACACTGCAGTGTCATGTCGGCAATTTCTTCTACCGTGTGGCCGGCACCAAGTAATCTGATGTTTGTAAACGTATGATTGGATCGGTTGGTAGGTGGGTAGGTAAGAATAGCCCACAAATAGATAGGGATGCCAAGAATACCAGAGAAGGCAAATTGGCCACACAGGTTGCAGATGATAATGACATGATGGGAGGATTTGTGTGATTTGTTGGGTAGTTCAAAAGGGTTTCATTGATAGGATCATCAATAAATCATGGATAAGGTGGGTACAGCAGGCAACAGAGATTGAAAGGAAGAAGCAAGCATAAGGTGAGTCCATGCCAATGGTCAGATGGAATCGGGTAAGGAGGGTATAAGCCAAGCCTGCTAAGGAGGTAGACAGCAGTCCTTCCTTAGCTAGCTAGCTAGTAGACCTGCCGTGACTGCGTCTGTCCGTCCCTCCCTCCTTCCTTACGTAGAGCTTGGTAGTGCTGGTACGTACATTTTGGCTCGTTTGCGGGCCGACAAGACAATTTTTTTGCGGTGGCGCCGTACAGGCTCTCTGCATTGCTCAAAGATGTCAACGTCAATGACATCTTCATTGTGGTAATCCCAAGTGATTTGCAGTGGCGCGCCCTTGGATACAGCCGGATTGTCGCCCAGTACAATCGCGTACTCTCGGATATGAACATCGTCAAAGCACACTTTCTTCCAAATCGCTATATTGGCCGAAGACGCATTTGGGTCTTTCAGGATGGATCGAGTAAACATGCTCATGGTGTTCTTATACTTGTATGGTATTAGACTAGTAGCAAGTGTTATGAAGAATAAAGAATACTGTTGTGCTCTTGACTTGACTATACTTGACTGCTGATGGATGGATGGATCAATGACTGACTTGACTGACTGCACTATCGACTAACAACTAACTGTGAAGGGAAGCCTGAGAAGCGAAGCAAAGAAATGAGGAAGCTGGAAAGCTGAGGAGTCTTTTTTGCTACCACCGCTGCTGGCTATGGGAGCGGACAGACTGACCATCGTACGGTTGCCAACGCTAGCTAGTGCGCCGCCGGTTAAGCATACATACTTGGACACTTGGAAGGCCTTTTGCTCCGCCGGTCCAGATAGGGTACAGGGCATAAGCAGCGGATGTAAAAAGTTCGTCGACCCACGAGTAAATGACTACCCAATTATTTAACAAAGTCCTGGAAGCTAATTCTGAAATACACCTTTCCAATCTGAAGAATGCAGTCGAATACCCCATCATCGACTTGCAAAGAGAAAGCGAAATAGGAGCTTCACCTTTTCTTAACGGAAATAAATGGTCAAATAATAATCATGGACAAACGGACAAATAAATTTGTCGAGAAGTACTAATTGCCCTCAAGCTGATTCGATTCAGCTTCCGCCAACATCAGTTCTGATGACTGTCAGACTGCTTTTTGCACTCGATGTCGATATAATACAGCTTTGTTGTCTTTCCGCAAGCAAACTGGCGACGTGGCCAATGTACCATGGCCATGCTTATGCAGTGGCGCAGCTAAAGAATTAAGGGTTTAGCTAATAAAAGAGTGACCTACCGTGTGGAACCCGCAATGCCGCAATAACCAAAGCAACAACAACAAATAGTCTAAATATGAAAAGCGACATGTTCGAACAGATCAATCCATCGATGCAAGACTCTCTAGCAAGCTAGAGAGCTCTCAATCGAGTAAGCTCCGAACTCTGACGTCCACCCACCCCGATGGAATCGAATCATTCCTATCGCAACTCACATTCTTGCTCTTTAGCTATAAAGCAACTCCACCCATATCGTCCATTTTGAACTTAGATGTATCAGCCCACACTCATTGCGCTTTAGCTCGATCAAGCAACATGTCTACTCCTCATGTTAAAAGCAGAACTGATGATCTCGGTGGTGCGCTCCCGGTACCTTCCAGCCCTGAGCAGCAATACCAACCACCACCCAGTGTGATCAATGTCCCAAGACCCGAAGACATGAGCTGTGCTTCTTCCGTCACGACTCACTTTCACGATGCTGAGCTGTTTGTCCCTCACATGTATCCATCAGTACAGAGTCTACACGATACCCGTGACATAGACGATCCCACCTTTCAGCCGGTCACACAGCAGCCAAGAGGACCGACAACGACAGCTTCTGTTTTGCCGCCACTTCAGGAGGAATCGGTGCAAGACCCTGCCGACAGCAAGAGTATCACTGCCAGCCACCAACAAATCGATGAACATCGAATCCTCAAGGAACAAGAGAAAGTTACCATACAAGATCTCTCCCCTGAGACTCCATCCATGGCTACCTTGGAATCAAGAATCAACCAGAAGACCCAAGTATACTCAATTCGGCAAATCTCCACTGAAAATGAGGGAGAGACCAACAATGAAATGGGTCACGTGATCCAGAAAGAGCAAAAAGAAGATGAGGTGGCCAGAAAGATTGCTGATCAGTCTGCTCCATTTGCCCTTGCTGACAGGTACAAGCTCCGACGACGGAGCAACCCAGCCATTTCAGAAATGGTTGCAACCACAAGCACCTCCTCACCAGTACCAAATTGGATTCAGGATATGTCAAAGCCTGAGGAAATGCCATCCGTCCCAGCTACAAGAAGAGCTGTGGACCTCCAGAGTATACCAGGAGCACATGCTGTTGGAACATCCCAAACCAGCCAGCAAACCAGTCAGCCAAGCCATAGTGGCACTATGAACTCTTATGCTGATGATGACGAGGAAGCCACAGCCGATATCCAATCACATCCAACCGAGTCGTTGGCAGAGGCAAGACCTGTTGCTGAGGATGACTTGCCCGTTGCTACTGCCGATAATGGGAACCAAATCAGTAAGAAGAGAATGAATTTGCGGTTTCATCTCTTGGGAAGCATATGTGTCCTTGTGGTTGTTGCGGGTATTCTTCTTGGGGCTGTCTGTGGTACTGGGCACTGCAGTCAGAAGGTCTATGTGGATGGCAGCAGTACCATAGCACCAACTACAGCAAGAGATGCTGTTGAGGCACCCACGATTAGAGTTACCTTAACTCTCATCTTGGGCAGGGACTATTTCGAACATGTGGAAGAATCTGGAGATGATATGGATGTTGACCTTGTTGAATTCTTGCTGGAAACTAGGCTGAAGGCCTTTGATTGGATTGTCAATCTGGACCCAATGCAGTTGGAGTATGATTCTCCCAATTTGGTGCAACGGTTTCTGCTGGTGCTCTTCTCTTATCAGACCACACGGAACAAGCCATGGAAAGAGTGCAATCCACCAGCAATTCCCCACGGGAGTGCAACTGCCAATTTTTGCTACAGGCCAGATTATGTATCCGGTGAAGCTACATCGCATGTATGGGGTGATCAGTGGCTCTCTGCCAGTCACGAATGCAAGTGGGCAGGAATTATCTGTGAAACTGTGCAAGCAGAGGAGAGGACAGTGGTTGAGCTGCGTCTTTGTAAGTGACTCCAAAAGGTTTTCAAAAATATGTGATTTGCCTAATTCTGACGCTGTGGATTTCTTCATTCTTCAGATTGGAATGATCTTAATGGCCCTCTTCCCTGGGAGATCACGAGATTGCCACTGCTAAGATTTCTACGGCTCAACGACAACATGCTGACTGGAGCACTGCCAACAGGACTCTTTTCCAAAAAGGCAGGTGTTGCCCTGGAATCTCTTGCTTTGTACTCGAATCAATTTTCAGGCACTATTCCTGCAGAATGGGTTGCAAACCTTCTTGAAGGAAGTGGAAAACTTGCCAATATTCATCTGAATCGAAACACATTGACCGGGAAAATTCCATCAGAGTTGGGTCTACTTGCTATCAAATCTCTTTCACTTGCAAACAACAAACTTACAGGTTCTATTCCACAAGAAATATTCAACCAAACTTCACTTGAATCCCTTTTCTTGAGCAAAAATGACGTAAGTAACTGCTGAACACTCACACCCATGCATGGCCAAAGCTTACCTTCTATTTGTTCTCTCTGCTGATTTAAAGCTCACTGGGACATTGCCAAGCGAAGTTGGACTGCTCACTGATATGAAATACCTGAACTTGAATTACACGCAGATTTCTGGTTCCTTGCCCTCAGAGATTGGCCTGTTAAACCAGCTTCAGGAACTCTTTCTCTCTAACACTAACATGCAAGGGACAATTCCTGAGGAACTCTACATGGGACTTGACAATCTCTTGTTCTTTGGCTTGGATGGTTGCAACTTTACTGGGACCATCAGCTCGTCAGTTGGTCTTTTTCAGACAAAGCTCCGACACTTGTACCTAGCCAATAACAACTTCCATGGCACCCTCCCCAATGAGATTGATGCATTGACACTTCTAAGGGAAATTCTGGTGAATGGGAATGATCTATCTGGGACAGTTCCCGTCTCTTTCTGCCAGAACCGTTATGCTGGGGGGAAAGCTTCGAAGGTTGTGGCCGACTGTTTGCCTAACCCGGAAACAGGAGTCCCTGCCATCCAGTGTCCTTCTGACTGCTGCACGAGTTGTTGTGATGAGACAGGACTTTGCCTTGCCAATTGATGTCTATGCCCTTGCCAAACAAGCAACAATTCTGGCAACACTGCATCCATTATACCACCCTGAGCGTGAAGCTTTAGTGAACCGGACATCGATCGAGTATTTCGCCCAGCGAGATCAAGGCATGCACAGTCAAAGACTGGGCTGGTTTCCTGCGTGTTATTACGTGGTAGTATTGGCCTCGCTAGCTATATACGTAGATAGAGAAAGCAATTTCTTCGTATATAGAGCTACTACCGATAGCCAGATTTTAGTAAAGTACTAGCTAGTGTACAATCGTTGCTCGTTGAATGGCAGCTTGCCGGCCAGCTATAGTGACGCTAGCTATGGCGAGCTCTCCAGTATTTGAGTGGGGATGGTGAGTGAATGATTGCTTATTGCATGGAACGATTCGATTCGATTCGATTCAATTCAATAAAAGCAGGCTTAGCTGAATAATAAATACTAGCCATTGGTTGCTCCTGTAGCAAATAATACCGGTATGCATCCATGACTTCCAACTTCTCGGCTAGAGCGGCGAGTGCACTAAAGGTGAGAGGGGATTCAATCATGCATCATTATCGGATCGAATTGGTTTGAGCACGAAAGCCCTGAGGTCTTTTCGATCGCTCTCGCGACGATCGCCCACTCCCTGCTCCGATGGGTCTTGGTATACTTGACGTTTGCTTCGTGTCCGGCTGACCTTTTCCTTGATCCAATCCAACGGTGATAATCTTGCAACAAGTGCGGGGGACAAACTTACTTTCGAGGTCGAAGCTCCTTGCTTGATAGTGGAAGCAACCCATGATGGAGCCGCGACACCGAAGCAACTTGGTTTCTAAAACTACATATAAGGTCTTCTCGAGTAATTCTCTCACTTCCGGGTATGGCTAGAGCCTCTAATTCCTTAAAAAGAGATGGTTCAGTGTTCAGTGAGGTTTCAACGAAAGACAATGGAGTCACTGTTTATGCAAGAGATGCGGTTCGCTGATGCTTAAGAATTTTTTTGAACTTTGAAGGTGGGGAATTTCTACATTCGACCAAATTCTGCAGGAATGACAGGAAGTGCGTAGCAAGAAAAACCATGCAAGACCAGCAATTCGACAGCCTCGTGCACTTCCTCGGCATAAAGTGGCGTACCTCATCTGTTTTAAAAGACACAAAACAAGGGATCGCATCAACGCGTGTAACAAGTCCGCATTGCTCTATATTAGCTAGAGCAACATGTCTCCTCCTCAAGTTACTGGTGATGGTTGCTGTGGCGCTCCGACCTCAAGTACCGATACTGGCCAGCAACAACAGCAGCAACAGCAGCAACAGCCACACAACCTGGAGGATGAGTCCGTAGTAGAGCCGCCCAGTTCGATTAATATCCCCAGTCCCGAAGACATGAGCTGTGCTTCTTCTGTCACGACACGGCACTTCTATGATGCTGAGCTATTTGTCCCACACATGTATCCATCAGCTCAGAATCTACGTAACTCTGATGATGTAGAGAACCCTACCTTTGAGCCAGTTACACGGCAGACAAAGCCAACAACGACACCTTCCGCTTTACCACCCCTTCCAGAAGAATCGTCGCAAGACCCCACTGACAGCAAGAACATCACTGCATGCCATCAAACAATCGATAAAATTAGAATCCTCAAGGAAAGCGAAAAAGCTACCATGAAAGAGGATTCGACAGATGTCCCATCCATGGCAAGATTGGAATCCAAAATCAACCAAAAAAACAAAATATACGCAGTTCCACAAACTTCAGTTGAAACAAATGGCAACGCTGATGCTGGAAAGGGCACAGCCGTCCTAAAGGAACCGGAACACTTGCAGGACGTGTTTGCCAAAAGATTTGCTTATGAGAATGGCGCTGTTGGTCACCATGACCCCAATGCAGTACGATGTGCTGACATAAGAGATGATCGGGCCATTTCAGAAAAGGTTCCCAGTGCCAATGAGGGTGCAGCGTCCTCACTACTACAAAATTGGCTTCAAGAAAAGCCACTGCCCGTGGATATGCCATCCCTCTCAAGAAACACTGGTGCTGACATGCAAGAAAGTGTGCCAGGAGCCCATGCTGTCCAGACAATCCCACTCACCCAACAACCAAATCGAGATTATCAAATCTCAGGGCAAGATGCTACTCAGGCAACAGCAAATCTGCTGCAACAGCCAAACATGGATTCTGCCTTTGCCGACGAAGGAATCACACAACCACCTCCACAAGACGAGTCGCTGGCACAGGCAAGACCGGTTGCTGATACTGAGGATGACCTACCCATTGCCACAGCTGAGGATGGCAATAGGAAGGGCCGGCAGCAAAGCAACTGGCCTTTCTATTTCATGGGAGGTATATGCATCCTTGTGGTTGCTGTTGCCACTATTTTGGGGGCCGTCTGTGGCACAGGACACTGCAGCCGGAAGGTCTATGTGGACGGCAGTAGTACCATGGCGCCCACTACAACCAGAGATGCGGTTGAAGCACCCAAGATTGAAATTGCCTTGACAATCATCTTGGGTAAGGACTACTTTGAACATGTCGAAGAATCTGGAAAAGGGAACGACAGTGAACTCAAAGAGTTCTTGATGGAAACCAGGCTAAAGGCATTTGATTGGATTGTCAATCAGGACCCCATGCACTTGGACTATAATGCTCCTAATTTGGTTCAGCGGTTTCTTCTGGTGCTCTTTTACTATCAGACCACAAGGCACAAGCCATGGAGAGAGTGCAATCCACCGGCAGGTCCCCAAATGAGTGCAAATTCTGGTTTCTGCTACGAGCCATTCTTTTTCACTGGCGAAGCAACATCAACCATCTGGGGTGATCAGTGGCTCTCTGCCAGTCATGAATGCCAGTGGGCTGGAATTACATGTCAAAAAATGCAACCTGCTAAAATGCAAGTGACCGAGCTAAGACTGTGTAAGTCAGTTTGGCCCGACATCTAAATTGCTATGTCCTTTCTGTGCTAACTCTCCAACTTGGTGTTTTTCCTTCAGCATGGAATCAGCTCAATGGTCCTCTTCCTTGGGAAATTGCACATTTGTCAAGGCTGACAAATCTGCAGTTAGGAGACAACATGCTGACTGGAGCTTTGCCAGGGAGTTTGCTGTCAGATTCATTAGAGTTGTTGGAAAGTCTTTCATTGAGTCACAATCAAATCTCAGGGCCCATCCCTTTGGCATGGATTGAAAGTATCCACGAGGGAATTACAAAACTTACCAGTCTCTGGATCGCCTCAAACAGACTGACTGGGACAATTCCATCCGAAATAGGGTTGCTGCCTTTGAAAGAGCTTCGGCTTCATGACAATGCACTGACAGGAGACATTCCAAAAGAAGTATTCAAACAATCTTCATTATGGAGGCTCAATTTGGGTACAAATGATGTAAGTGAGTGCTCTAGGTGGCTGTTGGCACAACCACCTATGCATCCATGCACCAAAGCTTACCTTCGTTCTGGTGCTCCATGTTAATTACAAGCTTGCTGGAACGCTGCCAAGCGAAGTTGGTCTGCTCACTAATTTGGAATACCTAGAAGTCAATTCCACAAGGATTTCAGGTCCTATACCCTCAGAGATTGGCCTAGCTACATTGCTCAATGAGATTACTTTATCAAACACAAATTTGCAAGGGACAATCCCCGAAGAAATCTACAGTCAACTTGAGAATCTCAAGTTTTTGGCGTTGAACAATTGCAACTTCTCTGGCACAATCAGTTCATCAGTTGTTCTTTTGACATATCTTGAGTGGCTACACCTAGCCAACAACAGGTTCCATGGCACGATCCCAAATGAGATTGAGGCACTGACAGGGCTAAGGCAGCTACTCGTGAATAGGAATGAGCTGACTGGGACTGTTCCGGTATCTGTGTGCCAAAATCTTGCATATACTGACAATTGGAGATATCTTGATAAGTTGGCGGCCGACTGTTTGCCTAACCCGGAAACAGGAGTCCCTGTCATCCAGTGTCCTTCTGACTGCTGCACGAGTTGTTGCGATGAGACAGGACTTTGCCTTGCCAATTGATGTCTGCAGGCCCTTGCCGGTATATCTTGTGCCTGTAAGTATCCAGTGTCATTCCATAACGCAACTGCATTAAATGCATTTATTATCTGCAGCGCAACCGTCTGCTGGGGCCTTTGCTAGCTAGAGCAGGTTATTAGATAGCTAAGCCTAGCTAGTACATTTCGCTAGCTGTGATATGGTATGAAAAGCTGCCCTTCCGATCAACTGTGGGGTTGACCATCAATCTCTACCGCGGCGGTACAATGGTATCTCGCTATCTCGACGCCTGTCTCTCCCAACGCCGCCACTTTACTCGGTCTCTGCTGATGGTCTCCTTGGGGCCGAAGCTGACGCACTCGCCAAACGTATTTCCGCTTTGCTCGCTGCAAAGTGGGAACGCCCTTACTCAGTTGTGCGTGGCTACGTTAATGCTCGGCTAAGCCTTGCTATTCTTCGGGCCCGCCACCTCTGCATGCGTGGCTCTCATGTCCCTGCTGGCACAATGAGCTACCACCGTTCTCTCTGGGATGCCAGTGGTGCACTTGCACTCTTCCGCTAATCTTGCCCCCTCTTACTCCCTCTCAACTTCCCCTCTACTTCCTCCTTTTGCTCAATGCCCCCCTTTTGCCCTACTCCCATCCTCCCCGCTCTCCCAGTACTATCTGGTACCCACTACCGATACCACCGCTCTGCCTAGCTTAGCCCACCGAAGCCGCTGCTCTGCCTAGCTTAGCCCCCCTCGCTCCTTAACGTATCTACTTAGCATTTGTCCACCTATCATATCCCTCTGGCTGCTCTCCGTATCCTCCTTGCCAATTGATGTATAGACCCTTACCAAACAGGCTTGTATCTCATGTCCTTCCATAACGTACAATCGCTGCAACACAAAGATCTGCCAAAGCCTCGTAGTATGTGCATGTGCTCGCGACGGCGTGGCGGATGATCATCTCTATACTCTCACAGCTGCGTGTATGATATATGCCTTTTGGATGAATAATTCAATTTTTTAATTGAATCAGTTTATGCGAAGCAAATCTGGCTTGAGCGACCGAAGACAGCTTTATGTATTAGCAGCAACACGCGACGCAGTCGAGTGTTGTCGCTAGGGCCAGCCTACAATAACGGATGACCGCTTCGTGTATTAGTGGAGCTATTAGCCGCAACACGCGACGTAGTTGAGTGTTATTGTGGACTCCTGCTATATATTACAGTGAAAGAAGGCTGGACCTCCTCCTTCCACTGAGAGGCTCTCTTTCTATCGAGGTATAACAGCGAAAATGACCTGTGGTAGCGATTTATGACTATCCAGTTACCAGATTACTAGAAATCAACCACAACCACAACAACCAAGTAGTAAAACACAACTATAGCAACCTCTCTATCAACACCTCCTTCCTTCCTCTATCATCAGCCTTTTTCGGCTTATCAGGCGTGGAAGCTACCGTTCGAAGCAACGTTCGACACTACCGCTCGAAGCTAGCGCCATTGTCGTGATCGTTCGTTCGAAGACAAGAGGAAGAGCTATCGTTCGTTCAACGCGACGACAAGAAGGACAACGTTCGAAACTACCGTCCGCTCGAAGCGACGGTCATATCCCATTGTCGTTCGCTTGTCGTGATCGAGAAGAAAGAAGAAGAAGAAGGAGCCTGTTAACCGTTCGTCCATTCGAAGCAGCGCCATTGTCGCCGATTCGAAGCTACCGATTCGGAGCTACCGTTCGAACGAGAAGAAGAGATCCTCATTGCCACCGATTGGCAGAGCCACCGATTGGCAGAGGAAGAAGAAGAGAAGAAGAGAAGACCTCCAAGCGGCATAGCAACAGAAGACCTCTCAAGAAGAAGGGGCTCTCTCAAGTGGAGCGAGAGATAGAGACTTCCAAGTGGGAAGCAGAGGTTTGGACTTGGAATATTGATCCCTCCAGTCTGGATCAATTCCTGCCTCATTGTCACCAAAGAAACCGGTTTTGCCAAGGAGAGGGGACGCCTGATCCAAGAGTTTTGGCCTAGACTGCCACAGACTGGGTGTGCAGAGCTCATTCCGTGGAATACAGCCTTACTTGTCTGTGTTGGGGATTCGCGATTAGGGATTCAACCCCTGTACCTCTGTACTAGAATTTCACAGTAGAAATGCAGAGCCCACCCACTTTTTCAGTAGTATCTCAATAGCAACAGTAAATACTAGAAGAGAGCTTAGAGCAACTAACATACTACTGAAAAAGCGGTCTGCTATCGAGTCGAAGCGAAGAAGAGAAGAGGAGCCTATCGAAGCAGTCAATCGGTAGCAGGAAGCAAGAGCGAGTATCGGCCGAACGCCGATCGCGAACGACCGTACAAAGAAGATCGACGGGACGACGCAACGATCCGAGGACGGATTGCGACGCAAGGATCGATAGAAGACCAAGCCTGTCGAAGCATCGACAGCAATCGAGAGGAGACTGCAGCCAACGACGCGAGTATCGGTCGACGGCAACAGCAACAAGAGAAGCCCTTCAGGACTGAAGGCATCCGAGGACGGATCAAGACCGCGACGACGCAACGAGTTTCGTCGGCGGCGACAACAGAGTTTCATCGGCAGAATCCACAAGGATTGTCGATAGAAGAGCCGACAGCATCCAGCCGGAACTGTCAGAGCCAACAACAAGCGCGAAAGCCATAGTGCCAGCGCAGGGGCCAAAGGAAAGGCACCCAACAAGGAATATACCGCTGAGTTCTTCCATTTTCTTCGACGGAAGGTATCCCTGAGATGTAACTGTTTCATCTCGGCAAAGGCTGCATCGTGCGCTTTTGTCCTTCCACTCCTTGAGTCCAGCCTTCAATGACAACTGTGTCATGATGGCTGCTACCACATCAGGTTCTTCTTCTACTGTGTGTAGAACATGTGTGCATCTGGGTGCAAGACACGTTCAGTTGTATGGACTTTGGCGTCTCATACTTCTTTCCATCAAAGCTGGGAATATACGATTCCTTTGCTTGTGTCCTCACTCTACTAGCCTGCGCACTCCTGCGTCTGCTCAGGTGCCGCTTGGTTTCAACACCCACTCCTGGGATCTGTTCCAGGGGCTGTTGGTCCGTAGTAGGTTCCGGTTCTCTACCGTTTCGACGATAGGTTGTGTAACCGGTTCGTTTCGATTTTCGTTCAACGATTTCATTCGGTTCGTTGACTATCGTTTCGGCGTCGTCGTTGACGTTGTCCTGGGGATCGTCGGGATCATCTTCCATTTCGTCAATGGTTTAGCATCCGCGTCCAGGTCCTCATCGTTTGGATCATTGGTAGTGGGGTGCGTCATTGCTTTCTTCCCCTTCCACTCCTGTGATTCGACATCACCAATGGTCTATTTTTCCGATCAGTAAAAACGAGTAGTTTAGGCTGATTTTTTCCTAATAGATTGACTCTAGCTATCACTGTGTCGGGCATTGGGATCTTGTCCCATGAATGCCGAGTAATTTTCTTGCCGAGCGGAGGCTCATAAATTTGTAGCCTCCTGCTTATTTCCGCTCGTTCCCATACAGATGGCCGCCTTTGTGCGTCCTACCATGCTGTTACGGGGCGATTCTTCTTCGTGCACCTGGCAGTAGTCTCCGAACTGAAGGCTCAGGTGCTTTTTATAGTCCAGGGACTCTCCCATCATTATCATACGGGGGCTCATTGTCTCGCTGACCCCCGCCTTACTTGGAAAGTACGCAACTGTTTGACGACTTGTAACACCAAGTTGACGGTTTAATATTTTTGCATGCGTGTAACGGTAGGCTAGCCGGACAGCTCGTGTCCTTTCCTTGACTACCCGGATTCTACTGTTCGATCTCGGGTACGTGCTCGTTAGCACTGGCAACGTTCACTACCGGTCCACCCGGCATTGCCATGATTGTGTTGGAACAGAGGCTCAAACTCATTGTCCACATGAATGGTCGTGATTCTAAAACCACGGGCCTTGAAGAATCGATAGACCTCCTGGACTGCGTCTAGGATGGTCTCTAGCTTCTGTTGGGCAGGTGTCTAGTGTTGTAAAATCGATTTTACGGCTTAGCGTTAACAGGAACGGAATCCTGCCACAAAGAAAATGTCCATCGTTAGGAACACATCCTTGTAATTGCAAAAATCTCTCGGCACTTTCATTGCATTGCCTGCCACTCGTTCGTTTTCGTACGAGTGGTCTTCCTTTCACGCATCAATATCCTTGCCCATATGCTTGTGCCGTTTCATGTCTTCAACGGTCACTGGGCAATTTGCGATTTATTGCTCATAATCGCCCATCGAAAATCTTTAATCGATGGATAGACGATTTGCTTATATAGCAGCTTGCCCTTGATGCGGCTTTAACTTGTCGTTTGCTGAAGCTTCCTTATTTTCGGCGACAGTATTCACAAGTGCCTTCCCTTTTTTTCCTAGGGTCATGAACGTGTAATCCTTCACTGTTCATTTCGTATACTACGTCCGGTAGGCCTGGTCTAATGACTGTTTATGTTCCTTTCGGACAGTCATAGACGATGTTTGCAATTCTTGCGGACATTCTTACATAAGATGTTCGTGATTCCTTTTCATCGAACCATACTCTCGTTTTGTGGCCAGCTAACTTGGCTGTATGCTGGACCTTCAGCTTGCCTCCGGTACTTTTCACTGTAATTGGACGATCGGCTTTCCTGATGTCGTAACCATGTCTTTATTAAAGAATAAATCCAACGTGGACTGGTTGTCCAGTACTGGATCTCTCTCATATCATGTCGTCCAATCCTTTTGTGTGGGCGACTATGCCTTGCTTGTCGGTTTCTTCGTTTCCGTTCTTCGTTTCCGCGAACAGCGGTACGTCGAACGTAACGAAACTTTTTCGACTTTCTCTTCATCTGACTGGTGATGTCAGAGTCGGCATCATCCTGTCTTCCTCCAGGGTTGTCAATGCTGTCGTCATTTTATCTTGCAGTTTGCTGATAGTAGCTAGGGTTCTCCTTTGAACGCTACTAGAGCTTTTCTTGCTCGACGTGCTTGACTTGCTACGCTTGCTCGACTTGCTCGACCTAGACTTGTCATCGTCGTCTTGTCTTTATCTTTGTCTTTATCTTTGTCAGGACAGTGCGAGGCTGATGTCCTTTATCGTGGCAGGAGAAGCATTCTTTCTCTTTCCAGTATTCTTTATCATAGCTCGCGTTTCCGCGGCCTTTTCCTCTGCCACCACCCCGTCCTCTCCCGCCTTGTGCTGTCTGAGCAAAGGAGCTTCCGTGGGAAGTGGACTGTCGTGGGATGTTACTCTTGGTGTTTTGTCCAAAAGGTGTAATACCTCATGTAACGTGTGGGATAGTTATCAGTGCCTTTGGCATAGTCGTCCCTCAGGTTCTGTTTAAGCTTGGTATTTTCGGCTGAACTATTTGTTTAAGAAGATGTAACTATAGTACCGTTCTTCAGCGTAGTCCGAGACTTTCTTCTGGTCATCGGCTCCTAGGTCAGCGTATGCTGTGTTTGGGTGGAGTAGTTTCGCCGTATGCAGCAGGGCTGCATCGTGTATCTTGGAAATACCCACGGATTTTGCAATGTCCTTTTTCGTGGTAAATTGCTCGTGGTATTCGGAAGCGGTAAGGCTCCCTTGGTGGAAATTCAACAGTTGTTTTTCCAGTTGGAATAATGTGTGGTACACAAAATTATCATCGGTCTGGGCCATGATCGTCTTATGGATCATTTTCGTAGCTCCAGTGGTCGCATCTTAACAGGACGTCTTCGTGTCCGTGTTCTGCTTCATCTTGTCCTTTAATAGTCGGGTGCACTGCCTAGGATCAAGTTGAAGCTTTGCCTCTATTTCTTGTAGTTTTGCCAACCTCGTAAGGTGGGTCTTCATCAGCCTGCATACTCTGCTCTCTCGAGTCCGCCGAGTTCCTCGTCCGTGGATCTTCTATGGCTGCAGTGAGGTTGGCTATTTCATTTTCGAGTTTCTTTCTCTATCGTTAGTGTCGTAAGCTACCGAGAGTTGGTTTTCAATGACCTCTGCTATCTCGTCTTCCAGTAGCTCTAGCTTTCCTCGGTCGCCGTTAGGAGACGAAGGTTGTTCTGTTCACGTCGTTCCGCTGCCGCGTCAAGCCTGTTCCGGGTCTCCTCTGAGTACACCGGTGCTACCAACACTGTCTGTTTCAGTTGCGTAGCTCATTGCTCATGTCGTCACCATCGTTTGTCCAACGTGGATGACGATCTTCTCCCATGTGCGTATCATCTGGTCTGCCGTTCCAGATCCAGTTGTACCGAATTAAACACATGTTGGTCGAGGGCTTTGCATGAACCTTTCTGCTGGTTCGACGATGGCTGGTTCTTCCATGTCCTCGTGCTTTGCCGCCTCCTCGGCCCCTCGTCCTTTACCTCTACCGTCATTGTCTATGCTACGGTGGGTGGACTATTTCAATTCGTTGTTTTTTGATTGACTAGCTCTTTTAATTTAAGTTCTCGTCGACTACTTATTCGTCTTATGGCTATGGGGCGATAAACTTCAATTATACTCCTGGCTAGGAGTGTTAAATCTATTTACTAAAGATCTTGCAGGGAGGGAACGATTGCTTCACACACTGTGCGGTCGTTTCCACTCCGAACCCGTTTCTTTGTATTGTTGATTCCTGGTTGGGTGCCTTTCCTTTGGCCCCTGCGCTGGCACTATGGCTTTCGCGCTTGTTGTTGGCTCTGACAGTTCCGGCTGGATGCTGACGGCTCTTCTGTCGACAATCCTTGTGGAATCTGCCGATGAAACTCTTGCTGTTGCCGTCGACTGATACTCGCGTCGTCGTCGGCTGCAGTCTCCTATCGGCACGACAATCCTCGGTCGTCCGATCTTGCTCTTCGAATCCGTCCTCGGATTCTTCACTCGTTGCTGTCGTTCGAACGTCGAACAACAGTCTTCTCTTGTTGCTGTCGAAGCGACAGGCTTGGTCACTATCGTTCCTTGCGTCGGTAGCGTCGTCCTCGACGGTCTTCTACTCTTCGGCACGACGGTCTCGTCGTCCTCGATTGATCGTCGCGTCGTTGCGGTCGGCAATCCGTCCTCGGATCCTTGCGTCGTCGCGATCTTCCTGCTACCTTGGCTGTTTCGTTGCTTCGATAGACTCCTCTTCGACTCGATAGTAGACCACTGCTATTCGTGATAGCAGCCTTTTTCAGTAGTATGTTAGTTGCTCTAAGCTCTCTTCTAGTTTACTTGCTATTGAGATACTACTGAAAAAGTGGGTGGGCTCTGTATTTCTACTGTGAAATTCTAGTACAGAGGTACAGGGGTTGAATCCCTAATCGCGAATCCCCAACAAGGATCTCCGCGTTCTACGCCCACCGTTACACCAGGTAGCCCCAGTTCGAATCCAACAACAGCCATCCCAACCGTGACACTAGGATCTCCAAGTTTGACACCAACAGCTACACCAGGCAGCCCCAGTGCAAATCCAGCAACAGCCATTCCAACTGTAGCCCCCGGCAGCCCTTCAGAAAGCCCCACTTCAACCTTGCCAACGGTGACACCAGGATCTACGCATTCTATGCCCACCGTTACACCAGGTAGCCCCAGTTCGAATCCAACAACAGCCATCCCAACCGGACACTAGGATCTCCTAGTTTGACACCAACAGCTACACCAGGCAGCCCCAGTGCAAATCCAACAACAGCCATTCCAACTGTAGTCCCCGGCAGCCCTTCAGAAAGCCCCACTTCATCCTTGCCAACGGTGACACCAGGATCTCCGGTTCTACGCCCACCGTTACACCAGGTAGCCCCAGTTCGATCCAACAACAGCCATCCCAACTGTTACGCTAGGATCTCCAAGTTTGTCACCAACAGTTACACCAGTAGCCCCAGTGCAAGTCCAACAACAGCCATTCCAACTGTGGTTCCCGGAGCCCTTCAGAAAGCCCCACTTCATCCTTGCCAACCGTGATGCCAGGATCTCCCAGTTTTACGCCCACCGTTACACTAGGTAGCCCCAGTTCAAGTCCAACAAAAGCCATCAAACCGTGACACCAGGATCTCCAAGAATGACACCAACTGTTACACCAGTACCCCCAGTGCAAATCCAACAACAGCATTCCAACTGTGTCCCCAGTAGCCCTTCAGAAAGCCCCATTTCATCCTTGCCAACGGTGACACCAGGATCTCCGAGTTCTACGCCCACCGTTACACCAGGTAGCCCCAGTTCGAATCCAACAACAGCCATCCCAACCGTGACACTAGGATCTCCGAGTTTGACACCAACAGTACACCAGGTAGCCCCAGTGCAAATCCAGCAACAGCCATTCCAACTGTAGCCCCCGGCAGCCCTTCAGAAAGCCCCACTTCAACCTTGCCAACGGTGACACCAGGATCTACGCATTCTACGCCCACCGTTACACCAGGTGGCCCCAGTTCGAATCCAACAACAGCCATCCCAACCGGGACACTAGGATCTCCTAGTTTGACACCAACAGCTACACCAGGCAGCCCCAGTGCAAATCCACAACAGCCATTCCAACTGTAGTCCCCGACAGCCCTTCAGAAAGCCCCACTTCATCCTTGCCAACGGTGACACCAGGATCTCTGGGTTCTACGCCCACCGTTACACCAGGTAGCCCCAGTTCGAATCCAACAACAGCCATCCCAACTGTGACGCTAGGATCTCCAAGTTTGTCACCAACAGTTACACCAGCTAGCCCCAGTGCAAGTCCAACAACAGCCACTCCAACCGTGACGCCAGGATCTCCCACTTTGACACCAACAGATACACCAGGTAGCCCCAGTGCAATTCCAACAACATCCATTCCAACTGTAGTCCCCAGTAGCCCTTCAGAAAGCCCCACTGCATCCTTGCCAACGGTGACACCAGGATCTCCAAGTGTCACACCAACAGTGACACGAGGTAGTCCCAGTTCAAGTCCAGGCAGTCCTTCATTGTTTCCATCGGGAACTCCTTCTTTGTCCCCATCTGTGGAAATTGGCATCCCTTCTGTGGCATCCAATCACCCTTCTCAGTTGCCCACAGGAAGCCCATCAGCTATCCCATCATTTTCATCTGAGCCCTCTTTTCTCCCTTCATCATCACCATCGAAGATATCATCCTCTCCAACAGCCACCCCTTCGCAGCCACCATCTATGCATCCATCGGCCTCCCAATTAATTAACCCCCCTGTGGCAACGAATCACCCTTCAAGGGCCTTCAGTGCTCCAGCTTTGTCTCAGAGTTCTGTCCCAAGTGAGGAGCCATCAGTTTTCCCATCTGCCAAGCCAACCACCTCTGCTTTCTTGTTGCCGTCTCAGATTCCAAGTGTACCCCCCTCCTCGTTGCCATCGAAAGGTGCAGTATTGACTTCCTTGTCACCATCGACTCAACCAAGCACTGGTCCATCAAAAAGCCCCACTGCAACTATATCGAAAGGTCCAAGTATCCGACCAAGCATCCAACCAAGTGGAACATCATCAACAAGTCCAACTGAAGTTGCCTCATTCAGTCACAGTTTGGACACAAGCAGTGGACCATCAAAAGACCCTACTGCAACCCCATCATCTCATCTGAGTGCTACACCAACTGTGTTGCTATCATCCAATCCAAGCCTTCAACCAAGCACTGAACCAAGTGGAAAGCCATCAAATCACCCATCTCCATTGCTGTCATCCAATCCAAGCATTCAACCAAGCATTGAGCCATCAAAAAGACCAACAGAAGCCCCATCATCTCATCCGAGCTTGGTGCCAAGTGGTGAACCATCAAATATCCCAACTGGAACCTCATCCTTTATTCCAAGTTACACACCGAGCACAGATCCATCCAAAAGCCCATCTGGGATCCCTTCATATCCCTCAATCAGGCCATCAATATCTCCGTCGTCCATTACAAGCTACCAACCAAGCAATAAACCGTCACAAAGCCCATCTGAAGTTCCCTCGTCCATTCCAAGCAACATCCCAAGCAGCAAACCATCAACCGGACCAAGTGAGATACCATCATCCATCCCAAGCAACACACCAACTAGTAGGCCATCGCAAAGCCCATCTGAAGTCCCCTCTTCCAGGCCAAGCAGCATACCAAGCAGTGAACCATCCAAAGGACCAAGTGAGATACCATCATCCATCCCAAGCAACCTGCCAAGCAGCAAACCATCGCAAAGCCCGTCTGAATTTCCTTCTTCCAGTCCAAGCAGCATACCCAGCAGCATACCAAGCAGTGACCCATCTAAACAACCAAGTCAGGTACCATCGTCCATCCCAAGCAACCTGCCAAGCAGTGACCCATCATCCAGTCCAAGCAACTTGCCAAGCAGCGGCAGTCCAAGCAGCCTGCCAAGCAGTGAACCATCAAAGAGTAATGAACCATCCAAGAGTCCTACAGGGGTACCATCTTACAGTCCAAGCATGTTACCAAGCAGTGAACCATCCAAAAATCCATCAGCTCCTCCATCAGAGTCTCCGTCATTGATGCCCAGCTCAAGTCCGTCACTATCGCCATCACAGTCTCCTACAGCAATGCCATCACCGTCGCCAACTGTGTATGGCACTGGTCCAATTGTGAATGTGGCAACCAATGAGTGCATCACTGTGGCAACAGCCACAAACTCTGAAAGGATCTACTTCGCTCCTTGTGATGGTTCTATCAATCAGAGGTGGCTCTATGATACCAGCACTAAAGCAATCAAGCCAGTGTCAGATGGAGGTATTTGTTTTGACCATGATATCGACAGCGCGAACATCGATGTTACGATATACAACTGCCATGGTCTTGACAACCAACAATGGTTTTCCAATGATCGCAATGAGCTCAAGTGGTTTTCAGATGTGGACCGAGGTATCCTGCAGGAAAAGTGCATGGATTATGATGGCAGCAAGTTCGTGGTCATGCTTGACTGCGACGGTAGTGACAACCAAAAGTTCACTTTTGTGCCTGGTTTTGACATTGTCACCCTTGGCACTGGGCTCATCAGCATTCAGTACAATGGTGAGTGCATCGAAATGCAAACAACAGGGGAGCAACTGATCACAATGCAACCATGTGATTCTGGAAACCCCCTGCAATTGTGGCAGTACAATCCACAAAATGAGGCAATCTACATGCCTGGTTATGGATGTTGGGACTCTGGAAATCAGCCTTACGTACTCGGCCATTGTCATCAAGGTCAGTATCAACGATGGTACTCATCCGGCTCGGCCAATTTGAAATCTCGTGTGTCAAATACATGTTTGGATTGGTCTATTGACTTCAGTTACTTATACATGGAGTCATGCAGTGGCGCGAATGATCAAACATTCTATGTGCCAACCAACTTTTTTGGATAAGCAAAATTTATCATAGTTTTCCACTTCGAGTGCAGACTCTGATTGCGACTAGGTTACCTCGGCAGTCTTGCTGCCAGAGCCCACTGCTGCTGATTATCCCTTAACGCCCAATAGCGGAAAACCAGAGATTCAGACAGAAAGAAGATTGACTAATTCATCTCACCTCCCACTTGGTCTGCAACACCAGCATGGTGCCAATCGACCATGGGGCAAACATGAGAAAGAGGACCCCAATGTTGGCCGAAACAGTTGCAGGCTGATCAAACTCCACCCTTCTCACTGGTTGATGCATCCCAGCATCAGAACCTTGCAGCGAATACTTGCACGGACTGATCCATTGTAGCCACCTCACAAAGTCTTCCAATAAGGGAAAGGGCACAAAACCTCCCGACATACCCAATGACATTGTCACCACGCCAGATCCAACAAGAAAGGCCAAATCTTTGGTTGGCATGAGGATGGAAAAGAAGAGCACCATGGAACTTCCTGCCAAACCGCTGGCAATGAGGGCGGACAAGAGCGTCACGAACGATTCCCACTTTGGAAGGTCGGAATCCACAGGCCACTATAGCGGCTTCCAGGCAAGCAGCTGCGATCAGGACCCACGCTTCCAAGAGCATTTGTGAAATGCAGTAGATCCACGGCGAATATAGACCCAGGCTTCGTTCAAACAGAAAGAACTTTTTCGCGCGCACAAACACCGGTATGCCAAGATGATAAAGGAGAAAGCTCCTACCACCGAGGGGAAGGTTCCGTTGCTGCCCACTTGCCAAAAAATGGCCCCGTCGAGGAGGGAACAGGCAGTGTAGCAGACGAGCGTATAGATTGACCACATTTCTCACATAGTGGTTCAAGAGAGTCCGGTGAAAGACAATGAACATTTTCTTGAAGACTGGCACTGGTTGTCGTGGTGCTAGGAATGTTTTTGTCGTTTCGGAGGGTTCAATCATTAGGTTGTCTGGAGCTGGAAAGGTGGCGTCGTCTGGTAGTTGCTTTAGTCGGCGCAAGAGATCCAAAGGCACCTCGCGCTTGGATTCTGGCATGGAAACGCCAAAGTGGTCGTCGTAGAGGGAACCGAGGTTGGAAAGATGATCCGAGAAGACACACTTTCAGCGAGAAACCAGAAACAGTCGATTGAAACACTCAAAAATGTCGCCATCCGGCTGGTGGATAATGACGATAGCGGCAACACCATGGCTCACGCAGAGCTCTTTCAGGAGTTGAATCGTCGTTAGCGAGCTTTCGGAATCGAGTCCACTGCGAAATCAACGACATGGGGATGGTGTTAGTCTGAGTGAGCAACACATGCTGGAGATTGCTCTTCTATATACTCCACGTACGTCTTGTACTTGTAATCTCATCGAGCATGATCAAACGAGGTTTCATGGCCAAGGCACAGGCCAAAGCGAGAAGTTTGCGCTCTCCTCCGCTAAGACCCCGGATCACCAATCCACCGGCCAGAGAACCGCCAATGGGTCGCGTGTAGAGGTCTGGATCTCGCAAACCAACATCGTACAGCAATCGGCGTGCTTCCACTACACTGGTCTTGCCGTGCGTCAACCCAGCGACAAACATGACTGATTCCTCTGGTGTCCCCGTCACATTTCCAGTTTCCTTTGGACCTGCCAAGACATCCATCAAGGTGGACTTTCCTCCGCTTTTTGTGGAAACACACAAGAAACAGCAAAGCACCAGTGAGTCACGTTCCGCATAGATAAGCTCTCCATCCACTGGACGTACGCACCTGGGTCCCATAATGGCCACCAAGTCTCCCGTTCGTAGTTCGCCATAGGCATCACTCAGAGTCTGCTTGTCCTCCATCCCGGATCTTGTGGCCGGGTAGGTACACGATATTCCCGACCATGCCAAGAGGTGGTCCGTGTGCGGTGGTGCTTCGGTGTCCGTCTTTGTTCCCGAATTGCTGTATGTTCGTAGTGCTAATATATAAGCGACTCGCCATTCTGTTGTCCGAGTAATCCAATGGCGGCTTTTCTATCCTTGACAGGTGGCGGTCGTTTCCAAGCGCACGCACACAGCGGCATAGATGCAGAAAACCGCACAGGCATCGGCCAAAACCAGAGGCGCCAATTCCCATCGTGTGCTGGAAGACGAGCCAGAGCCTCCTCCGCTGACTCCGACCAAACTATTCAAATCCTCGTCCATGGTGAATGATTGTTACTGCTACGTATAGTGCTATGAGGTGGACGCTTGGTTGCCGATTGCTGTTGCCTTGTCTTTTGTTGTCTCTGGTTGCAAATGGAAGCAAAAGGCACAGGGGTTTTCCGCGACTGGTACCAGCACCTCGACGTAGACTAATACATGGAAAAGGCCCATTTGATGGAACAGGAGTAAAATGACATGTTTTATGATGGCTCATCAGGACATCTTGATAACCCTTGCAAAACTGTTCGTAGGCAGCTCACTGATGAAGTATCCTCTTTAGATAGCTAATAGGCGTCGCACCCTCTCAGGAGGCCAGTGTGGCGGGTGAGCAGACTGTGGAAACACCCGGGCCTCGGCTCGTGGGTTGTCATCAAGCACTTATTGTCTGCATCGAATCCGTTCATACACGATCATTTTTGTTGAGCGCACCGCAACAACACAACCAACATTGTTGATCAACTTTCCATTGCCCCCGAACCTACAACCAGCTGCCAAAAAGCAGTGTGTCAGTTGTCAGCAACACCGACGACAAGCTCGTTGCTGGCATGACGGACTACGATACTAGCAACTACAGGATGACTTTTTACACCGCTGACAGGTGTCAAAATGTGAGCGTTTTTGACGGTTATGTTTCGGTTTTCGGAAATGGGAACCCCGAAGTGGTCATTTCGCGAATCCTGCATTGAAATGACTAGTTGGAATAAAGAAAAGATTGAAGCTAATAAAATGAATTTTATCACCATGGCAACAGAGTTGACCAAATGGCCATTAGCTTTACCAATACATTGAGATAGCAAATCCTTTTCTAGCACTAGCTCCCCAACACACTCACAGAGCCACCCCTCAAAAAGGATTTGCTATCTCCAAGGTTTCCTATGGAGCATCCAGGAAAAGTCAGGCTTGGATTCCATTTTGTTGTCATTCTGCCATGCATTTCTCCATGGGAAAGGTGCCCTTGTCCTCACTCTCAGCACCCAACCTGCACTGTAGAGTATGGTAGAAGAGTGGTTGGCTTTGCATGAAGACTGGAGAACCCATCCCAAAGGTTCAAAGGAGATTGTTGGCTCAACCATGGCAAAAAATGAGCAGATTTCACATTGGTAGTCAGTCCACCTTGTCTTTCTAGTCGCTTGTCTTTCTAGTAGCTTGTGTGTTGTTGCATTAGCAGTACCTGGTCAATTTCATGCAATAGTAGTAGCACTGTCAAAGGCTCACGGCCGTTCCATGGCTCCGTAAAAGAGGCTCCGTGAGGCAATTGATCCGTCGAACGGATCCGTCGAACGGAAGACGCTTGTTTCCATTGCTTGTTGTTCTAGTAGTAGTAGTCGCTTGTTGTTGCATTAGCGGTAGAGGCGTCGTCGTACCGTGAAAGAGGAGGCGTCATGGTCGCTTTGATTGATTGCTCACTGAAAGAGGCGCCGTGGAAGAAGAAAGTCGAAAAGAACGACCGATCGTCGAACGGCTGTCGCTGCCGCTGCCGCTGCCGCTAGCCAAACAAGAGGAGCCTGTCATGGTGGTGAGTAGTAGCCTTTGTTAAAAGGAGTAGCCGCTGTAAAGAAGAGGAGGAAGCATCATCTTGATAGAGCAAAGAAGACGTATCTATTGAAATAATGAAAGAGGTGATGTACCGTAGGAGTGGCTTGGATCGATCCCAGTGATGTCAGTCTCTATTGCCCTTGTGAAAGCTACCCATTTATGTCTCCGTGGATCCCGCAAAGCCAAACCCTTTGCCCCCCGTAATGGTCCTCAATTTCTTGCCCCTGATCCCTCAGAACCTAGTCCTGAATTTCGACTGTTCTTTGCTTAAGCCTGGCCCCGGCTGGCTTCCGTAGATAAATTCCCTACTCTAAACCCCTTCTTCTCAGTGATGTCAGTTGAGTTTAAGGCTAAGGCTGTATGTCCTTTAAGTCTTTTCCCGTACGTTCCTGGAAGTTCCGGTTCGCATTCGAATGTCGTACCGGGAGCGGGCTTGCGTTTCTCTCGATAGTTTAGATTCAGCCTGTACTGTATGTTGTAGTGTTTTTAAGCTCATTTTTCTGAAAAAGCAAGATTTCGGAAAAGAAGCACTCTAAGTGAGTCATTATGCCTCTCCATACTATTTCTTTACATAGGCTCAAGTTTCCAGTCAGATCTATGCCAACGACAGAAAGAGACGTTTGTTCCAAATAGGAGAAATATGTCCCGATAATTCCCACAATGACTTCCAAGTGCTTCATTGAACTTCAATTTCCAAGGACAAGCTGATGCTCGCTGCTCACAGCGAAGCTGCAGCAACCTCCGTGCTTCGGTGGTCGTATTAGTAGCGTACGGCTGTACGAGTTTCGTTTTGCATTTGATCACAGCAATTTATAAAAATAAGCCAGTGGAGCTGTGTAACCTCGGCAGAGAGGTTTCAGTGTACAAGCAGATACCCCTATTAGCTTGCTAGCTAGAAGCAGATACCTCTAGTGCTTAGCTAGTGCTTAACTTGCGCTTAGCTAGCTAGAAGCAGATCCCCCCTAGCTAGAAGCAGATTCTAGAAGCAGATACCCTAGCTAGCTAGAATACTAGTTATATAGCTTTCGCTGGCTTTAGAGTTTTTCCTGGTAGAAGCAGATCCCCCTACTAAGATGTATGTAAATAGCTTTAGCTGGTTTAAAAGCACCATCCTAGGAACTTAGACTCTATTTAGTTTTTGCTGACTTATTTGTGTTCTAACCCTACCCTTATACCTGCAGGGACCACCGTAGCAGGAAAAACAATTAAAGGGGTTGAGGGCTCTGGCAGCAAGACTGCCGAGGTTAAAAAAATTAAAAGGACGACCACAATTGCAAGCTCAACAAAGTGTGGAATCGAATCGTTTTCACATCGATCCTGCAACATTTAACATGGACGACAATAACAACAACGACAGCTACATCCAGATTGGTGGAAGTGTTAGCGGGAGCAGTATCACCGAAACAGACGAAGTCCTGGATGAGGAGTGCCAAAGCAGTGTCGACAAAAGCCAAGTGTCGGAAGCCGATGGACTTTGCGATGACGCCGTAACACCCGAACAAAAAGACAAAGAGACGCTGTCTCTTGTGGATTTTGGCGTTGATGATGAAGATAATAATTCACATGATCAATCTCTTTTTTCTGTAAACTCAGCAGAGGCTCGAGAAAGGGCCATTCAAGATGGTTTCCTCGCCTTTCTTACGGGCTACGTACAGAATGATGTCTTTGCCCGCTTCATGGAATTTCTGACCAAGATATGGGGCTTTTTGATGAAGAAGATAGGTCGGGGACAGAGCGATGGAGATGATCAGGATTTTGGGGCAGAGGATTTGGCTGAAGAATTGATGGACATCGCAGATCCAGGGCTGACCAATTTGAACTCTGGCTTTAACACCAGCATGCATAGTGTCACCAGTAGTGGAGGAGGTGGTGGTGGGACGGCACCTGGCCCTCCTCCAGGAGTAGCGGAGATGGCATCCGCTGCCGCAAACAGCGCTGCAAGTGGAGCAGCCAGTGGGGCAGCAGCTGGAGCAGGGGCAGCCACCGCCGGTGGATTGGGTGGCTTGGCAGGAATGGCGGGAGCTGTGGCAGGAGCCGGGGCCGCAACACAAGGTGGAATTGCAATGGGAGTTGGTCTGTTATCTTATAACAGAATATGTGTTGATTGAGACTATCCTCAATTGTTGCTCAACTTTTGCCCGCTAATTCTTTCTCAAATCCAGCTGCTGTTACAGCGGCTGTTGTTTCTACTGGAGTAACCGTCAACAATGTTACGATGCCAGTTGCCTATGATTCCACCTTTGTGCCACCAGTGTGCTCGGAAGCTTCTGTAAAGAAAATAGGGTTTGTTGAACTCCAAGTGCAGGCCTTGCCCCCAGAGGCTATTGAAACTCGGAAATCGGTTCTCGAAGAGTGAGTTACTTTAGGCTTGGTAAACCACTCACAACCACTGGCAATCTGAGCTAGTGGAGGTTTATTCTACTTTACAGCTACCTGACGATGCCCCTCTTGCTTTGTTTTCTCAGAATGTTTCGAGATATCTACAATGAAATCTCAGGAATGTGCTTGGATCCGATGGCACGAGTCATGCATAGAGCCATTCTTCAAAGCTGGGACACTGACTGGGGCCCATGGTCAAATGCAAGCGGGGGCCTCAATATGATGAACATGACCGCAGAAGACTATGAACAAGCATTAGTTCAGAGCATTACAACAACTTTCTGGGAGGCACACTTGGGTTGTGAAGGTTGTCCTGACCATGAGCCGTTGTTTGAAGCCCCCGACAATACGGGATCACGGCGGAGGATGAATGCCCCGGGAGAATACTACTGGCAACATGACCAACGCCGCTTGATGCAGTTTAACCTCATGCAGTGAGTTCTTTCCACTCTTTGCTGCATCCTTTGGATACAACCTGGAGCCAGTTCTGCAAGGGAATGGTACTGCTGACATTATCATCTCCATCTCTGGCAATGTGACTCAAGAAATGAGAGTTGTGGCAGGATCCACCAGAGAAATGAGGCAAGACGGTACATTTGATGTCAACTCGACAGTGCTAGAGATTGGCGCAAAAGAGATTGACGAGGCATATGAAGCTGTTCAAGCAAATGGGGGCACTATTATTGCCCCATTTGTTAGCAACGACCTGTCAGAAATCAGCGATTGTCTGGAGAGCAGCAGAGCTGCAGAAGAGAGCATGGTTTCTGATTTTTGCAAGGTGGTATTAGAGACATCTACTGCGGATACTCAGGTTCTCTTAGATTGCGTGGATAACCCCACCTCCAAGCAGTGCCAAGAGATTCTTCCTGGATTATTGGATGCCTCCACACGCCTATCTGAAACACAAACATCTGAGCAACCAGAAGCTGAGTTGCAAGAAATTGCTGATGAAGGCGCTCGCAACAATGAAATCATGGTGGATGAAGTTAATGCAGAGACGGGGGGCGATGATATGCAATCTGTGAATGACATTCCAACTGCAGAATCCCTGGTTGAACCACCAAGTAGGCCTCAGATGACTTCAGCTGATGCGAATGCTGGGTCAGATTCAGATCCAAAACCGAGCGCATCTCCAGCTGTCTCTAATGGCAGCCCTGCTCTCAATCCAAGCAAGTCTTCTCCAATTGCTTCAACTCCAATGGGACCTTCAGGGAATGCTCCCACCCAAGTTGCTATGTCAATGTATGCTCTCCAAGGACCATCAGTCATTGGGACAAACCAACAGCCCACAACATGGGTATCCTCAAAAAAAAACTGAACGTCTAATAACGGATCTTGAGGACGACCCACGAGCTAAGGCCCGGGTATTTCCCACAGTCAAGTCTTCTCACCGGCCACACTGGCCTCCTGAGAGGGTGCGACGCCTGTTAGCTATCTAAGGATTTGTACACTGAGGTCGGAGCCATGATTCACCACAAATCACGAGCTCTTTGTTGAAGAGAGTTGGGGTTGGTAAAGAGGTTTGAGGGGGGTAGGAGGGGTAAGGAAAAAGGGATGGTAGGTTCCGACTATCCTGTTTCCAGGGCTGTGGTGTAGTGACTCTCTTGTAACACAGGTTCCCATGTGTTCAAAAATTGAATGATGACTGGCGATTCGAGTGGTATCTGGAATAGCCATTCCAAATGTTCGGGGACTTCTTGCTGGTATGCTTCGTAGAACTGAGTGAGTTGTCGGATTGCTTGTGCTTTCTTTGCTTGTGACTTGGTTCTCATATCGTGCCCATGTCTGTCTTGGTTGCGCATGTCCCAGAGTTTCCACCATTCTTTATAGATAATGTCAATGAGTCCAGTAAGCCATGTGAGTCCATTGTTGCGTTTGGTTGCGGTCTTTTTCATGTTCAAATATCGGTCTTGTTCCTGACTGAATTGTTTAGAGATTCTCCCCTTTAAGGTGGTAACCCACGGACTTTAAGCCAGCGCCAAATTGTTAATTATTTATTTATTTTAACTAGCATTATCGCGACAAACGATGTTGTTCGATGCTGCTGCTAAAGGTGTGCTAGAATAGCTGATAAGCCAATCAATCCACCTTTTATACATGCAAGAGCTCTTGCTAATAGTATTGGCGAGGTGTAACCGGTGGCCCTGGGCCGATGTTTGATCGGCCTGTTATCCTTCTATCTCGTCGCAGAACAGCGATCGATTCTTCGAATTGGCTGCATGAAGCCCTTAGATCTCGATGTGTGCTGCAAGTATGGCCCCACAACCAACACCTACTCTCTTCCTTACAGTAAAAGGAAGCGATATTGCTTTGGTTGCAGGGCCATACTATCAGCAGGAACTGAGATAATGAGGTCGCCAACAGTGACAGTCGGTTGATCGATCTGTTGTTGTTGTTAGTTTGTTTCGATTTTCGAACGGAATCTCGCTTTTCCATAATTTCCAAACGTCCGAACTCAATTTTTCACTGGAACCGTATTCTTCTACTGATTTACTGTAGACTGACTTGCTAGATTCACCGGCAAGTCCCGTTTGGACCGCAAAATGTGAGCGTTGTAATAAAATACCAGTCAAGGAAGGACGTTATACCACTGCAATACACGGCTCTTAGCCTTATTCGCGACTCGATCCTAGATAGGGTTTGAGTTCGACTCATGACTGAGTCTCTCGTGAATAGTCATTGAGACAGGTTCTCATGACCGCTCTAGTCATACTAGGTTGATGATGAAACATCGCTCTAGATATTTAGCCAGCGTGGAGTACTTCCACGCCACTAGATAAATGCTAGACGAATCTTCACGCGTTCCGTTTTTGGATCGTGGAGTGAGTAGGATTGCTACCGCAACCTACTCTATCAACTTTACAGTCTCCCGCGGAGTTCAGATCTACGATCCTTTGGTTGTGATCTCTCTCGTTGATTATGTTTTCATAGCTTTCTAATCCTCTCATAA